GCACCCTGTCAATCATTCCTGCCCAACTTACCCAGACACCCAGCAAGGGGTACCTGGGCTGGGGTGTGGATCTTTTAAACCCTGAAGTCTGATTTATCTGTATGTACTTTTTATTTGTCAGTCGCCCTGACACCACTTTTCTGGTCATATCACCCTTTTTGTTTCTGCTGGTGGGGACCTGCCTGAATATATCTTCCTGTAAATTCAATCAATGAAGCTACTTTTGTTTTTTACCTTTGGATGTACACAGCAGCCTGGACTCTATGTTGTTTACCCCTCCTAGGTGTAGTCATTCTATCTTTTGTTTCGTGGGCTGGCCTCTGAAGACTGGACCTGTACCCACAGGTGTAAAGTATTCTCATCTTTTGCACTGGCTCTTGGGGGCCCAGCCCTGTCTGACTGTCTATATTTTTAACTTAGCTGTCTATAATAATATAATCTTTTAACTGGCGTGAATAGTATTAGTATTTACATTTGGGCAGTAATCATTCAAATTCAAGCAACTAACTAGATCCAATCCATTCATAGGCTAATTTTATCAATACAAAACTGATAACATTGATTAGCTTTGTTTGTACCACCATGGTACAAACTGCCTGGTGGTGTTATAGACGGCTAAGTTAGATAGAAATATAGGGGGCAGTCAGAAAGGGCTGGCCTTCAAAGGAGGCCATGCAGAAGAGAACACATCAAAACTGTGGCTGTAGGCACACCTGAAGATTAAAGTCACAATGGTGAATTTAGATCTCTAAGGGACAAACAGAAGCTTGAGGTTATTGGTATCACCCTTTGCAATTTCCCATTACCTTATTAGGAATGGGTCATCCTCTCCCACCAAGACTACTAAAACTAAGACTAAAATGAGACTAAGACTATAGATTATTGACCAAGGTTAAGGATGTCACCCATATGACTTTGCTACCATTGGATCAATATTACCTAAGCAACTATTCTTACAATTTTATTGGTGAGTCAAAATTTTGACCCATGTTGTACCCACCTCAGGATTTGGTTCTATAAAACTTCCTTTGAGAAGGGAGCTCACCGGCAACCCACAGTACCCCTCCCATCTCTCAGGAGCTATTTCTATTCCCCATTCATATTCTCCAATAAATTTTCCTGCTCTTAACATCTGTTGTTCCTTAGAATCTATTCTTCAACTTCAAGGAACATGAACTTGATGTATCTGACATCCATCATTTTCCTTCTATCAACTGGACAGTCAGGTGTGTTCCACCAGTGGTTCAAACTGACAGGAACATGTCAAGGAAGCTCTTTATGTATTCACACAGCTCAAGTTCCAAGATATGATAAATGGAAAAAACAAGGCATGGCCAGCAGTGGTGATACACACCAGTAAGCTCAGCACTTAGGAAGCTAATGCAGGGGGTCATGCGTTAAAGAGCCCAGCCTGGGCTGTACTGCAAAACCTTTTCTTAAAAAACAACAAAAAATCCAAACAAAAGACCTCAGGCATAAAACTGGGTAGACAGCATGCTGCTATTTGTATAAAAAGGAGAAAACACACACACACAAAAAAAAACCTGTTAACTGTTGTCGTAGAAAAATAATCCCCAAAACTTAGTAATTAAACATTTACTATCTTGGTGTGTGGGGGTCAGAAATGGCTGGGGCTGGACTCATCTGAAGGCGAAAGAGGACCTGCTTCCAAGTTCTCCTCCAGGATGCTGTATCACCTGGCCTCTCGAGTGCTTGCTCACAGGGGTGCGGCTGCGCACAGCATCCCAGCTGATGTCCCCAATCCAACAGTGAAAGACAGTACCCAACTGGAAGCCACAGTACCCAAGTGGAAACCACAGTCTTGTTTTGATCATCTGTTTTCAGAAGCAACAGCCTACCTCTTTGCGGTCTTCTGTCATTAGATGCAAATCTGCAAGCTGCCCACTCGGGAAGGGAGGGGGAGCTCCCAGGGCACGGAAGGCAGAGATGGCTCCTGGGCTACCCGGAGGATCCCTGTGACCGCAGCACCCACTGGAACGGTCGGCACTGGCTGCCTGCAGGGAAGGGACCTGGGCACTAGGGGAGAACTCGTCACTCAATATGCTTCTCTGCTTTAAGATTTTACATAATACTTACATGTTTTATTCAAAAAAGAAAACAATTTATAAATTTAAAAGAGCATTAAAAGGATGCCATTTAATAGCAGAAGAGCTAAGAGTAAAGAAATAAAAATAATCATTCAATAGTTATTAGTAGGCACCCTAAGCATATTTGTTTATAGTTATTACTTCTTTAAGTGATGGACTTTCTTTTTTTTTTTGTATTTTTACTGGTACCAGGGATCGAACTCACAACCACATGCTCACATGCTTGCAAGGCAGGCGCTTATGCTGCTGAGCTAAATCCCCAGCCCCTAAGTGAGGGAGCTTTAAAAGGCTTTATTATATATCCATGAGATCACATGTACAACTAGTTGGGCATCACTTAGCTGCCTGAGGTCAGGTGAAGCGACACACATGGGAGGCTGAGGCAGGAAGATTGCTGAATTCAAGGCCAGCCTGCACTACGTAGTGAGACCTTGTTGTTTTTATTTGTTTTTTCTTTAAAAAGCCTCCCCGAGCATCACTTAAGGCAGTATGTATGTACTGACTATCCTGAGCATCGCTTGGGCAGGTGTCAGCTCAACCAGTTAATTCTTGTATTGAATAAATTTGATCGAACTGTTTTATTTCCTGTTATATTTCCTTACAAAAATTAATGAAAAATATGCAATTGGTCATCCTGTACTTACGTAATTGGAATAAGTGGTTAATAGGTATGTGTTCTAAGAAATGTCATTGGCTGATTTTGTTGTGTAATATCAGTGTATTTAAACAAAGACGCCAGCGTCACCAGGGAATACACTCTCACGGGGCCACCCTCAAGTCCTTCACTGACTGAAATGTTACGGAGCACATTCTGCCCTGCAGACCCGTCTCCTGCCTTTCTCCTCTGAACTCCACTTACTTGCTACACTGGACAGTTAACTGCCAGCTGTAGGGAATAAAAGCAACACGCATTGCACCTTGCACGCAGCACACTTTCAATGAGTCTTAGTATCCATTTCTCTTTTGTTTTTTGAGACAGGGTCTGGCTGTGTAGTTCAGGCAGGCCTTGAGTTCACTATGTAGCCCAGGCTGGGCTCGAATTCATAGCAATCCTCTTGCCTCAGCCTTCTGAGTGCTGGGATTACAGTATACCACGCCTGGCAATGTCCACTCTTAATCAAAGGCCGCCCTTGCGCAGGCTGTGCCCTGGGAGCGGAATACCATGAATCCTGTGCTGGCCCCAAGTAAAGTTGTCCTCAGGCTAACTCAGATGTACTTGTCATCATGAAGAAATTCCCCAGCTGTTGGCTGTCACCTCTTCTTCCACAGCCCTTCATGTAACTGTAACACTTTTATGGTTACAGTTTAAATCTCTACAGCTCAGAGACCAATTCTTGGACTATCAGCATTGACATCTCCTAGGGCCTCTGCAGAAGCACAGAGTCCTGGCCCATTCCCGACCAACAGAACAACCCTCTAAATTCCAGCAAGATACATGATTCACATCCACATGAAAGTGTGACAAAGACTGTTTTAAATCTTTCCCTGCTCGAACTGTAAGCTTTCTCAGGGTTTTTCTTTATCTCTCTTCCCAAAGTCCATCATAACACTCAATACTCAAATCTCTTCGGGATTAAGTTTTATTTATAACAATGATGCACATGATAGATTTTTAATAAAATTCTTGGCAGAATATACACGTTATTAATAACAGTGACCTATTAAATAGGCAATGGTATATTTCTGTGTATTTCATTTTTTCACAGAGTACATAATCTTTGTAGATAGGAAAAATATGAAGATTTGGAAAACTACATAAAAATATAAGACATTGTAAGATATAATCACAGACAAAGATGTATTATATAATAAAGATAATGGTATACAATTGTATTGAGGTATAAGACCACAGATGAAGATGACTATGTGATATTTAAAGTTTTTAAAGCAATCTAATGATACATTGATATCACTTGTTTTTAACTAAAACTGTGAATGGATGATGAAAGGACACATTAGACTATCTCGGATAAAGTTTGCATTATACTTTTCTACATTTTAAACTTTTCCTACAATTAGTAAAAAAGAACATAAGGGAAAAAATTCATTCTCACTTCGGGAAACGCCTATACTCTTTATGAGAGCCCCTTCCCCACTGATGGGAGACCCCCACAGGCAGCTGGGAGATGGGACGCTCCAAAGCACAGGCCGCGGTCCAGCAGGAGCCGGGGCCTCGGCAAGGCACCTGACTCCACGGCCCTGGGCTATGCAGCTACTCCACACTCACAAGAGCGAGGCGAGGCCTGTCCTGTGCCACACCAGCTGTCGCCAAACCCGTCATTTTGGGAATCTCACTTTCTAGTTACTTCTTCACAGACGGTAACAGCAACAAGGAGAAAGTGCTCAAAGACAAAGCAGTCAGACAATTCACGCTGCAACGGCGCCCCCTGGTGGCACGCTGTGGAAACGGAAAGTGGCTTGATAACTCCTGCAATGGATCAAGTATTTTGAAATATTTTCCATCAACATCACCTTCTTTTTTTTTTTTTTTGAGACGAGGTCCAGGCTGGCCCTGAACGTGCTATGAAGGCCTAGCACGGCCTCAAGTTTACAGTCATGCTGCTGCAGCCTCCCAAATGTTGAGACCACAGTTGTGTACCACCACACATGGGGTTCTTTTTTTTCTTTCTTATTGTTTGGTGCTGGGGATTGAACCCAGGGCCACACCAAACATGAGCTCTACCATTGCACTATATTCCCAGCCTCACCTTTAGCTACTTAAACCATCAAAAGCACTTCTCCTTCATTACGGAGTAGAACTGACAAGTACAGAGGTGATGCGGGGACAGCTGCAGCCGTATCTGCTGTCCTTTCCTTCCGGACCACTTCAAGCCTTGAGACACAGATACTGTGTTGCCCGTACTGCCTTTTCTTCCTGTCTCCATCCACCTCCTTTACTCTCAGGAAACATAACCAGTGACTTCTGTACCCTGCCCATTCCCTGGCATGGAGGAGCCCCAGAGACATGTACCACCAGTACTCGCAGGACCCAGCCCTTAGGTTCTAGGAACTGACATTTCAAGCATGCCAGGTTGCTGTGCTGACATTCCTTCGGGAGTACCAGAGTGCAGCAACGCTGGTCTTCAACAGTGGCCCTCAGGCACAGCATCCTTATCCTCCAGGAAGAAAGATACATTCAATAGGGTATCTGGAACAGGAAGAGGAGAAACTGTTGTTCATCACCACCTCAGAGAACATGAAACATTCGATTTGTAAAAATACAGAGACACAGCAAGGGCATCTCTCGAAAGCCTCCTAAGAACAGGAAGGAGTGGTGGTACACACCTGTAATCCAGCACTTTAGGCTGAGGCAGGATTACTGGCCTCAGCTACCTAGAGAACTCAAGGTCAGCCTGACTACACAGCACACCCCGTCTCAAAAAAAAAAAAAAAAAAAAAAAAGCCTCTCAAGAGACGAGGCACCCGGAAAGAGACATAAAAGGGTAATAAGAACCAGTACCCTGTACAAGGTCTTGGCGCTCCTCCTCTGAAATTCGGTTCCAGGCTGTGGGCAGTGCTTGGATGCCTGCCAAGTCTCCCCACTGGATGGAGGAAAGGAGGTATCTTCTCTTAAGGTACCTTCCCAGGAGTTAAGGACACATTTTCACAAAGGAAGTGTAAGAGTTGAGGGACGTGGCTCGATACTAGAATGCTTGCCTAACACATGCACAAGGTCCTTGGGTCAATTCACACATTGAAAGGAGAAAAGAAAAAAGAAACAATGAACAAGAGAAACAATGAAAGAAAAGAAAAGAAAGGAAAAATGAAGAAAACACCCTGGCCAAAGCTAAAGAGCTATTAAGTAAAAGTTACATTTTACCAGAAGGACAAGATTCATGAGTATTTCCCAAGCAACTCTATTCACACAGCTTGACTAGGAGAGAGGAATCAAACACTGCCCCTGAAATCTGGAATCCGGAATCACACCCCAGTGACAACAAAACCAGAAAGTGAACTGCAAAGTAGTATGGAAGATAAACTCCATGGAAGTTCAAAGGATGGATACCTCTGCTTTAGAGGGCAGAGGAACATTCCAGCTCGCAGGAAAGAGAAGCAGAGGCAAGGGGACAGGGAAACACGAAGTGGACGCAGGGAAGTGTGCCTTAGGGTGTGGCTGGTATGCACACTGTGTAGGGAAAAGGCAGTTGAGGTGTAGGGTAGGGATTCTGAACCTTATCCTAATAGCAACAGAAGCCAACGACAATTCCTGGACCAGCAACCTGAAACAGCGAGACTTTCAGAAGACACAAGAGACTGTGGTCATTACCCAGAAATAGCTTAGAGGGGAAAAAACGAAAAACAGAGGAACCTGTCAACAGCAGCATGTGATTAACAATCCAAGTTAGAAGCTATGGAAGTGGCAGAGGGCAGAGAGAAAATATAATCATGCATCACTTAATGATGAAACCGCATTCCGAGAAATGTGTCATAACTCATTCTGTGCAGTGTGAACATCATAAAAGGTACTCACAACACAGACGGCTTTGTGGGATCCTTGCAGTATGTGTATGTGGTACATCACTAGAAACCAGCACCAGGGAAACAACTGAGGGGCTTGCCAGGCGCCTGCACAGCAGCCTGGCACACCGTAAGGGCGCAGCAGCGTCAGCTGTAGCTACCGCTCCTCTTGCCCCTGCTGCTGTTGCCCTCACCGCTACTCCTGGTGTCGCATCACCGCCACTCTTGCAGTTTAAACAACAAAGAGAAGCCCAGAGTGGGACACATTCTACCACTGAATGAAAAGGGGGTTAATTTTGAGAGCAACATTGAGTTAAAACAGACTCAAGGCCGAAGGCAAAGAACACAGAGGAAAAGGCTAGAATTTTAATTAGTGGTCTTTCTGCTTTCACCCTTGCCTGCCATCACCGAGACTTTGCTTGGAACATAGCTATTGAGATACCATTAAAAACATAGGTCTTTTCATGTTACTCCTCTGTTCAAAACATTCTAACAGCTTTTATCTCATTCAAAGTAAAAGCCAAAATCCTTCCGGAGACCTTCAAGGTCCTAGACTAATCCCATCTCCTCTTTGGCTCCCCTCATGCCCTGCTCTTGGCAACGGAAGTCTGCCCAGACCACCCTCGCACCTCACATTCTTTGCTTCTGCTTCTTTTTCTTGAGACAGGGTCTTGCTACGTAGTACAGGCTAGACTTGAACTTGGGGATGTAGCCCAGGCTAGCCTGGAACTCAAGGCAATCTTCCTGCCTCAGCCTCCTAAATGCTGGGATTAAACGTGTGCTACCATACCAACCTCCACAGCATTTACCATCATCTGTCACTCCATATATTTTCCTTTCTCCATTTCAAGATAAAAGTCTGGTTATGTTGTCCAGAAAGACCTCAAGCTTGATATTCTCCTACGTCAGCCTCCCATGTAGCCTAGCTCTACATCTATCACCTGTCTATCTATCTTATATCCATCCATCCATCTTCTTTCCTTTTTTTTTTCTTCCTGGTTTTGTTTGCTTTTTCAGACAGGGCCTCACTATGTAGCCAAAGCTGGCCTCAAAGTCACAGCAATTGATCCTCCAGCCTCAGCCCCCAAAGGGCTGGGAATATAGGCATTTGCCACTACACACCCAGTATATTTTTCTCTTTTAATGCCTGTCTCCCGGCACCTATAAAAGTGCTTGGCAGGCAGTATCTACTCAATAAATTATCTGAGGAATGATTATAAAAAGGAATACAGGAGGATTCCAAATTCAGGAATTAGAGAGAATAGTCCAAACTATACAGTTCTTTAATCTTTTTTTTTTTTTTTTTTGTCTTTTTTGTTTTTATCGGTACCAGGGATTGAACTCACGACTGCCTGCTTGCAAGGCAGGCGCTTATGCCGCTGAGCTAAATCCCCAGCCCCACAGTTCTTTAATCTTATGAAAATTGAAAAGAAAAAGACTTCTTGGAACAGCTCTGACACAATCTCAAAGGCACACAAAGGATATGAGCTTCGGTAGTGTCTCTCAATGTCTTGCAGCCATTCCAACATGTCTGCCACAGAAGGGCTCACCACTGAGGGCTGAAGGACGGCATCGACGCCGATTGCGTCTGCATGCTGCTCGTAGGTCTGAAACACTCGTTCCACGTGGCTGCTGACCGTGTCCCGCACCTTGAGAAGGGTATCTCTGTGGGAAAGAATGCTGTCAGACAGTACCATGAGAAAGGCAGGAGGGAAGGTTTCTCAAGTCTGGCTTCCCCGGCATTTTGGACTGGATGATGCTGTGCTATGGAGGGTTGCCCTGTGCACTGCAGGATACTCGGCAGCGTACCTGGCCTTTATCCACTGAATGATGGGAGTAAACCATGCTCTTACCTTCTTTTTTCTTTTTGTCTTTTAGAGAAAAAATTTCACTATGCAGTACAGACTGGCTTTGAACTCACTTTGTAGCCCAGGCTGGCCTCAAATTGCAGCAATCCTCCTGCTTCAGCCTCCCAAATGCTGGGATCACAGGCCTGTGCCACCATCCTTGGCTCCTACCTTCTTTAAATCATGACAGTCATCTCTAGACATTACCAAATGTCCCTTAAAAACATTCATCCCCACAAGGAAATTTGTGACAATGCCTTGAAGATAGTGGTGGCTCAAGAATCAAAAACTGACAGATGGAGAAGCTGAAGAAGTTATAGGGCTGTCAAACCTGTGGGATAAACCTGGTCACCAAAGAAACTAAAGACCAAGGTGCCTTTCTGGGACTGCCACAAAACTGTAAGGAGAGCAAATAATCTGTCTTCCTTATAAGGTGGTGTATGTAAAACTCTTAGTCCTGAAACCTATTAGCTTAAAATATAGTTCCTCATTTCCTTTAACAAAGAAAACTATAGAGGAGAACTAACAAACCTTCTCCACTCTTTTTCTGTTCTGCTTTGGTAACTTCTACTAAAGACAGCATGGCCATGCCCAGCCCCTGGCAAGGGGAATACCAATCAGAAAAATGGCTTTTTGGTAGAAGGAAAGGAGGAAAAGCTGGGACACTGCTAAATGCTATGCACTCCAAGAGAACCTTTCTGGCCCATCCTAACTACTTATCAAGCACCCAGTTTTAAGATCATTCTGCCGAGACAGCACTCCATGGAGACTCACAGCTTCTCCTCCAGCTTGTCCAGGACAGTGTCGCCAGCCTCCAGCTGCTTGCGTCTCAGCCGCTCCTGTAAGTCAGGAAAGTCTCCAAGTGCTGGCACATCCTCAAATCGCAGGTTCTGTGCAGCCTGCAGCTGCTCTGCCAGGTTGCTGAGAGAGGTCAGGAGGGGCTGGCAGTCCTGCAGAGCGCTCTGCCACAGGACCTGCTGTTCCTCCACCACCGGAAAGCACTTCTTCAGTGCCTCCTGCACAGCTAGCAAAGGCTGGTCTTGAGTCATCTTCTGTTAGAACAACAACAACAAAAATAAGGCCAGGGTGCCAAGTCAGCAGGGGAGGTACAGGTTCAAGCGGAGGAGGCATTTCCAACCTCGTGGGAAGTCTGGCGTTTGGTCTTCAAGTGCCAGAGGCGCTGTCTTACCTTTAGAAGCGGTTTCCCAGCCCAGGAACAGGGTCCTGGCTATGGCTCCGTTTAGAAGGCTCCTTCGGGATAAGGAAGCTCTCTGCTTCAGACTGTGGATTCTCGGGGACCAAAGCTCGTCTCTCCCTCAGGTCAGCGCTTTTGGAACTGTAATCTTGTATCCTTTCTTGGAGGCTGCTAGGAACTTTGCTCTAAACTAGCAGAAAGACTTAAAGCTAAACAAATCAAATACCCGGAATACCACCATCTCGCACACTGTCCGAGCATGCACAAAAGCGACCGCCCCCACGCTCAACGTCAAATTTAAGCGACTACTGAGAGTATAAAAATATGTCGTCAAGATGCAAAGAATTCTGGGTATTGAAGTTCTACTTGTGGATTGGCTGCCTGGTGATGAGACTTCCTTGTGATTGGATGTAGTAGGGCCGCCCTAAACCAGCGACGTCTCATTCGCCAGCCTGGAGTAGTTGAGTTTAAATTGGTTGGCGGTTAGGTGCCGGGCTTTACGACGACTACAAGGATTTTCTCGGTGTTTGCTGCGGGACTCGCAGTTACTGCTTCGCGATTTCTTTATTCCCAGTCCGTGAAAGACGTTCTCGGTCGTCCTCTCTGCCTCCTTGCACCCTGCTGCCATCTCCACCTGTGATCCTGCATCTCAGTGCCCAGCTCTCCGCAGCCTCCACCCAAGCACCATGGCTCCTAGGAAAGGTAGCAGTCGGGCTACCAAGACCAACTCGTTACGGAGTCGGAAACTCGCCTCGTTTCTTAAGGACTTCGACCGTGAAGGTAAGAGGCGGGTTTCCGGCTGTCGCAGCTACCTGCGGCGGTTGCTGGGTGCTGGAGGGTTGGGGCGCTCACAGCACGGATTTACCCTCTGAACCGCGTTCTCTCGCCTCTGCCCTCTCGCAGTGCAAGTACGGATCAAGCAAATTGAGTCAGACAGACAGAACCTCCTCAAGGAGGTGGATAACCTGTACAACATCGAGATCCTGCGGCTCCCCAAGGCGCTTCGCGATATGAACTGGCTCGAATACTTCGGTAAGAGCTGCTAGTTTCCTCAAGCTGCGGTCTATAGCCGCCTGTGGTTATCTGACAGCTTTCAAAAAGGACTAACTCAAATTTTCCTGCTCAGGGAGGTCTGACATGACCACCTGTGGAAAATTGCAACCTTACTACTGGGAACCACTCCCTCTCAGCTTCCTGCTTCTTTCGTCTCCATTGCTCGAACTGCATTCCCGTCTCCACCTCTACCCCGGGCAAAGGGTCAGGCAGAAAATGTTTTATTCTTCCTGGGCCACAGGTTCTATGTCCAACCACTCAGAACAGGTATAGTGAATGGACTGTGTCCCAATAAAAGTTTATGGATATTAAAATGTAAATTTTACATAATTTTTTCACTTCGCAAAATATTGCTCTTGTGTGTATCTAACCCTTTAAAAATGAAAGAATAAATGACTTAGTTTATTAGAGCTCAGATGGAAGAGTTACTCCAAGCAGCTCCTTCTGTATCTTGTGGAAATTGTCCATATAAAAAGTGGGAGTGGTGGCACATAGCTATAATCCTAACACTCTGGAAGGCTGGGGTATAAGATTGCAAGTTCATATCTCACTTGAGTAACTTAACCAAACTATGTCTCAAAAAAAAAAAAACGGGATGGAGATGTAGTTTAGTGTAAAAGTCCTGAATTCAATCCCCAGTACTACCAAAAACAAAACAAAAAACCCGCTATATCAATTGTAAAGTGCAAGGACAGGAGACAGTTTCTGACCAGAGAGCCCAGCTTCTCTTTCCACCCCCTTATTAAATGTTAGGAGGTCCTTTCTCCTGTACTAACTTCATTTTTTCTATATTCTTTATTATTTACAGTTACCTGGTGTGTAGTCTCCTTCCTGGATAGAAATGCATGTGATGCTCATACAGGATTTTAATGATCCTTTTGACTTGTGTTTTGATTTATTTACTTATGCATTCACTCTCAAAAGTTGAGTGTGTCACATTTACAATGCAAGGTGCTGAAGATGCATTGGAGAATAAAACAGACATTGTCCCTGCCCTTGAGAGATTATGGGTTAGAGGGGAAAGGTTATTTTAAAATTCACATACAAAATTACAGGTATATAAAGAATTATGTGAAAGGCATACTGTCAGCTGGGTGTGGTGGCACATGCCTGTACTCCCAGAGCTCAGGAGGCTGAGGCAGGAAGAACTCTTTGAGTTTGAGGCCAGCCTGTACCATATAGCGAGATTCTGTCTCAAAAAAACAAACAAGAAAACCAAGGCAGGAATGGACACTTAAACAACTCTGAGTAACTTCTGAGTAATTGGGTGTGCCAAGGAGAGCTACTTAGCAATTTACTATTTACTTTGCAAGTTTTTTCTATTTGCCAAAATCTATTTATGATATAAGGGACATAAGCAGAGTTTTGGGGTGATCCTAGAGCTGCATTTTGAAGGATGAACTGCAAATTTGTTGTGTGCACAAAAGTATTTTAGCCAGAGAAAATACTTAGTGTTATACTAGGCCACTGAGTCCTAAGAATCAGTGTCACATTTGGGAAATAACAAGAACTTTAGTGAGGTAGAACACAGAATAATAGGTCAGGAGCTGAGAGAATCATGCTTGGAGAAAGATTAGACAGGATTGTGAAGGTTCTTCAGTGTTGGGCCCAGAGCTTCATGTGGTCCAGTTATAGAAAGATAGTTGATTGAAATAGGAAAGATGACTTTTAAGTCTAAATACACTAATGTTCTTTCTTTTTAAAGCTCTTGGTGGAAACAAACAGGCCCTGGAAGAGGCAGCAACAGTAAGTGACTTGTCTTATTTTTGAGCTGGCTAGTTTAAAATTAATCCAATCACAAAATTCAACCAGTGGTAGCCAGGTGCGGGGAAACCCTGTGTCAAAAAGACAACAACAGCAACAAAACCAAAATTCAACCAGTGGGGTCTATACTATAGAAGAGATTCCTTCTAGGAACATTTAGGGACATTATCTTTTTGTTTTTCTTTCTTTTTTGGTCTTTTTGAAACAGGATTTCACTATGCAGTTCATGCTGGCCTTGAATTCACTTTGAAGCCCAGGCTGACCTATAACTCAGAGTGATCATCTTGCCTCAGCCTCCCAAGTGCTGAAATTATAAGCATGTGCCACCATGCCCAACAGTATGGGGAGTTATCTGTGTCAAACTGAAAAATTACAGTTGTGTCAGACACTGAGTACATGAAACCCAATACATCTGAGTCTTATAATGGAGGTGTGAGGTATTTTGTGTTTGTTTTTGGTTTTGGTACCAAAAATTGAACTCAACCTCACGCTTGCTAGGCAGGCACTATGCCACTGAGCTGTATCCCTAGCCCGAGAATGTGTTGTTATGGTACACACAGTTCCTCCAGCCCCTATCTGTGAGTTCCTCATCTGGGATTCCTCTAACCATGAAAATATTTAGAAAAAAAATTTGCATCCATAATAAACATGTACTGATTTTTTTCTTGTTCTCTAAACAGTATAGAATAGGCCAGCTGTGGTAGTACACACCTTTAATTTTGGCAGTAGGGAGGCAGAGGCAGGAGGATTGCTGCTGGTTCAAGACCAGCCTGGACTACATAGCAAGCCTCTCTCTCCAAACAAAGCAAACCAAAAATATATTGAATAATGACATTTACATAGTATTATAAGTAATTGTCAGGTAATTAAAATACATGGAAAATGCCAAGCATGGTGGCACACTATTGTAATCCCAGAACTCAGGAGGCTGAAGCAGGTTCACCTTGAGTTTGAGACCAGCCTCAACTAATAGTGAGTTCAAGGCCAACCTGAACTACATAGCAAGACCCTGACCCCCCCAAAAAAATACATGGTAGGATGTGCATAGATTATATGCCAATCTACTCTCATCTATATAAGGGGCTTGAACATTTGTGGATTTTGATATCTACAGGGGGTCTTGGGAATAATCCCCAAGAATTCCAAGATTTTTGTTCACAGTTCCTGGCTTGCAACTTCTCTACCCATTGTAATTTCTTTCTTTTTTTTTTTTTTTTTTTTTTGGTCTTTTTCCTTTTTATCGGTACCAGGAATCGAACTCACGACTGCCTGCTTCCAAGGCAGGCGCTTATGTCGCTGAGCTAAATCCCCAGCCCCTCCTTTGTCTTTTTGAGACAGGGTCTTACTATGCAGTTCAGCCTGGCCTTGAGCTCACTTTGTAGCTCAGGCTGATTTCCCGAGTGCTGGGATTACAGGCGTGTGCCACCATGCCTGCCACCATTGTAATTTCTTAAGTCACCTCAGCAAGAACATTACCTTTTGTTAGCCCAGGTTGCACAGTGAGACACTGTCTCAAAAAAGGGGGAGGGTATTAGAATATTCTTAGTCCTTGGTTTCTTTTTCTTTGTTTCTTTGTTTCTATGACCCGTTTCAAATCTACCCTACACAGACGCAGACTGAATGTTTCAAATCATAATATCTGGGAATGTAGTTTTATTATTAGACTCTGGGCTAAATTTCCAGCATTATAATCATTTAGTGAATCAATAAATTATGGCATTCCTGTTTTTAAATTAATCAGGCATGCAGACCTGTAAACAAGAGCTTGTGTTGTAAATGAGAGACCCCACTCATCACACCAGGCTGAGAGAATTCTAGCTTTACTAATATGATTTAACTCAGTGGAGGAATGATACATTGATTTGAAAGCTCTTATCTGGGAGGTGTGTTGGGGGCTCCCAAGATCACCACAAGTTTGGTGATTCACTAAGAGAACTGACAGGACTCAGCTAGCTTACAATCACAAGCAGGGTGATCATTTACTACAGTGAAAAATACAAACTTAGTAAAGGGGAAAAAGTATATTGGGCAAAGTCCAAAGGAAGCCAGGTATAAGCTCCCAGGAGCCCAGTTCCAGTGAAATCACACAGGATATGCTTAATTCAACATGTGTGAAATGTTGTCTGCCTGAAAAGCTCATTAAAGACTTAGTGCCCAGGATTTTTATTGGGAGCTACTTATGCATCTTCTGCCTGGCAGAACCAAGCAGGTGTTCAGAATGAATTACATTGCACAAAATTTAGCAATACTGAGCTATTGACCAAGCAGGTGTTCAGAATGAATTACATTGCACAAAATTTAGCAATACTGAGCTATTGTGTTTTTGTTGTTAGTTTTGTTTTGTTTCTGTTTTCATTTTCACATGAAACTCAATGGGTCTCACAATGCAGTTCAGGCTGACCTTGAATTCAATATGTAGACTGGGCTGACCTCTTGATTTTAGATAATCCTCCTGCCTCAGCCTCTGAGTTGCTTAGATTACAGGGATCATCACCACATCAGGCTCAGTCAGCTATTCTTACCATAGTAGGGTAAAAGTCCTGAAATCCAAGTTTTCAGATGTTAGCCAAGGGGCAGTCTTGCAAACAGGCTTTGCTACTTATATCAATCTTAGACCTGATGTGTTAACACCTATATATAATGTCTGCAGCTTGCTGCCAGTGACAGCTTTACAATGTGCCACTTGTCAGCCGAGATGGCAAAAAGTTGACCTGAATTTCACCCCTTCTTTCCATCGACTCTGATAGACATTACTAATCTGTTATACCACTGTAGTTCCCAGCAGCCTCGGAAGCCTTCTCTGAGCATTGCACATAGACCTGCCCACCCACATATGGGTGTTTCCCAGTCAGTAACAACTATTTCAGTATTTACATGCATCCCACATGGAAAAGACTACATATTCTCCCTAAAAATACATATGAGTGGTTCCAACCATAAACAAATCTGATTAGACTGGTTACTGCAGGGAAACGTTTTTTGAAGGATCCAGGAGCGTCAGTGAGATGCAGTAGACTGCATAGAATGAGAAGTCTGACACAGCATAAAATGTTATGGAGAATATGAACATTAGGAACCTTTTGAGTGGTAACCAGGTATAACCACATCAGGAAACAATTTGGTACAATATTAAGACTGACATTATGTAACTGATGGCAACCCTGTAATGTAACCCTTTTTCTTCCCAAGTGGATAGCTGAGAGATCACCTGGACATCCAGTGCAGCAGTCACCTATGTAAGATAGGTTAAAGGAGTAGTGCTCATAATGGCAAAGGTTTATGTATAGAAAAATGAATAAATCCATTATGACATAATCATCTAGTGGGATATCATATAGCAGTAAGACCAAATTAAATACAACCACAAAAAGTGGTCGGAAAACAAGCAAAACCACCAAAAAATTTAAGCATATTTCACATTTGTGAAAAGGCATGTTGTATGTGTATACATCTATGCGTACATATGTGAATACATATACTTTGTTTTGAGCTGGAATAATAGCAGTTACCTCTGAGGAATGACAGGCTCAGGGAGACTGGTCGCCTTTGGGGGAGAGTGTTTTAGGGTTTGAGTTGTATGAGAATCAGTCTATGGAAGTTCACGATATTATAACTCACATTTAACAACCTTTTGGTATGTATCAAATAAGATGTTTTTAATCATTGTTTACCTTAATATGCTGTTTCTCCTGCTACTTTCTGGCTATGTTTGTCACAGGCTGACGTGGATATCATGGAAATAAACAAACTAACAGCAGAAGCTATTCAGACACCCCTGAAATCTGCCAAAAGTAAGTACTTTTCAATGCTCTGGTCGAGCAGAGGGAGCCTGAAGTCCAGCGAGTAGGGCCACATTGGTGGCCCTCTTCTCTGTATCTGGTCCTCAGTCTTGATTTGATCTACTGCATTCAGTTAGTTGTATGTACCACTGATATTAACCAATCTCAATACAACTGATGGGTGAGCTAAAGTCAAATAAAGAGAGGAAATACACAACAGGTCACTGTGCTGAAGCCGGGTATGGTGGAATACTTATAATCCCAGCACTTTGGGAGAGCAAGGCAGGAGATTCCCAAGTTCAAGCCCATCCTGGGCAATTTAGTGAGACCTTGTTTCAAAAAATAAAGGGTTGGGCATGGTGGCACACATATGTAATCCAAGAACTCAGGAAGTATTAGAACAGACCTGACCCATATTGGATGGGGGACTGGTTTCTAAGGACCTTATTCCACTGACAAGGGCCAGAAACATGTCCACTTCGAGCCTGACTGGCCTCAGAACTGCCTTGTAGAGTGAAGAAGGCATAATGAGTTTTTCTCGTCTGAGTTCTATCAGTTTTGCTTAATTGTCATTGGTGACAAGGGTCTTCTGATTTTACTCCTTGAAACTGAATCCTCTAGGACCAATATTAACTAACATCTCAAGTTGCTTTTATATCTTTTTAACTACTGAAATTCATTATAAACTGTTAAAAGAGAGAAAGAGAGATTAGAAGGTATCAGAGTTGTATCTGAAAAGCTTAAAGCCTTAATCCGATCCCCTACCCCACACCCACCCCCATGATTAAATATGATGAACTCTCTCTGTGGAAGCCCTACTCAAGATTATCAAGCTCCTGGTTGTATGTATTTAGCAGTGAAACATTATACCTTTTATTATCAAACGTTGGTGATCATGAGAAAGTTCTATAATTTTGAGCCAAAGTTTCTTTGTGATATCTGTATTAATTCTAGTTCTGGTGTTTTGTTTTTGCCTTTTTGCTTTTTTTGAGACAAGGTTTCACCATGCAGTTCAGGCTGGCTTTGAGCACACTTTGTAGCCCAGGCTGGTCTCAAACACGCAGTGATTCTCCTGTCTTAGCCTCCCGAGTACTGGGATTACAGGCATGCATCACCATGTCAGCTACTAGTTCTGTTCTGTAGAGCCCCATAAGAACTTTTTTAAGACAACCCCTTAAATATTAAAAATTGGGATCTAGCCAGGTGTGATGGTATACTTCTGTAATCCCAGCACCCAGGAGGCTGAGGCAAGAGGATTGTTGCCATGAATTCAAGGCCAGCCTGGGCTATGTTGGTTTAAGGACAATTTGAACTGCCTAGCAAGACCCTGTCTCATAAAACCAGTAGGTAGGTAAGTAGGTAGGTAGGTAGGTAGGTAAGTAGGTAGATAGATAGATAGACAGACAGACAGACAGATAGATAGAACAGACATAGATATTGCAGTTTTTCAGCTTAAACATCCTTTATACTCCTTTTTCTCCTCAGAGAATTTTTTGTTTGTTTTTAAAGAGGCATGAGACGGATTTATTGGAGGAAGGATTTCTACAGGATACACTTGAGCAGAGTGCAGATGCTTAAAGAAATAAGGCGTCTCTCATAGGACAATTGTAATACTAATTTTATTTATAAATATTATAATTAATACTTATTTTAATTTGGACTGTAGGTTCATTCATTCCACAAATACTTAACACCTAAACATACATTTTTAGAGTCTAGGATATAGGAATAACAAAAACAATCTATTCTTGTGGAATATATGTTCTAAGCCTCATAATATCTCTCTATAGTGATAGCTCCCTGTTATAGATGAGGAAACTGGAACACTGTTGACCTAGTAAGTTGTAGCTCTAGACCTCAAAGTCAAGCTTGTCTTAATCAGAATGCAGGCTGTCCCTAACAAGCATCAGCCATTATATAGAGTTACTTAAATTAACCTGATTGGCTGCTTTTGTTTAAACAACTCTCTTTAAGGAGGTTTTTTTTTGTCTGTTTTGTTTTTTGTGGTACTGCAGGATGAACTTAGAGCCTTGTGCATGCTAGGCAAGCATGCTATCATTGAGCTACATCCCCAGCCCACAACTCTTTTTTCCTTTTTTTTTTTTTTTTTTTTTTTTTTTGGTCTTTTTGAGACAAGGTTTTGCCATGTAGTTCAGACTGCCTTGAGCTCACTTTGTAGCCCATGCTGGTCTCAAACTCACAACAGTCCTCCTGCCTCAGCCTCCCAAGTGATGGGATTACAGGTATGCAACACCATGCCGACCTCACAACTCTCTTCTTGCGGGGCTTGGTTTCCTCAACTTGGGAAGTTGAGGAAAGAGAATCACCACAAGTTCAAGGCCATCCTAAACTACATAGTGAAACCCTGTCTCAACAACCCCAATAAATAAATAAATAACCTTCTTTTTTTAAAAAAATAAAAGGTGAATTTCTGGCACTTAGAGTGTTGACTTGACACTAGACCTTGCATGCAGAGCATGTATAAGGCATTGGATTCCATCCCCAGCACTGCCAAAAAACAAAAAAGAAAGCAAAAAAAAACCATCGCATATGATGTCAATTTCTTGACTGCAGCCTAACATTGCATAAGTTGTTCCTTACAAGAAAGGTGGTTCCATCAGAGATCTCATGCTTTTAAATCTGTTTCTTTATAGAACAAAAGGTAGTACAAGTGGATGAAATGATCATAGAAGAAGAAGAAGAAGAAAATAAACCTAAGAATTTTCAAACTACAAAAGTAAGTAGGAATCAGATTGGGAGGGTGGCCAGCAAGAGATAACCAAATATTAAAAATATGTGGAAACAGTGTTGTCCTCCCAGGGCTTCACGGTTTACATTGAAAAACTGTCCCTTTAAGTGGCAACTAACAAAAGTGTCACTGAAACCTGTGCCAAGTGCGTAGAACCCAGAGGAGGAAGCCAGTGAGTTTTCCTACCTTCATTAGGACATAGCCAGTCTTTTCAAGGTGACCAAGGTTCTGTTAGCTGGAGAATGTTCCAGGTAGAACTAGGAAAGTGTGCCTTTGAGGAACAGGAAGCGGTTAGGTATTGCTGGGATATAAACTGTAAGGGTATCGGGAAGAGCAGGGACATGATAATAGATGGCCTATGTGCCATGCTTGCAAGTTTCCACTCAGTCAGATGGGTAAAGCTGACATGAGATTAATATTTCAAAGGGCCAGGTGTGGTGACACATGCATGTACTGCCAGCACTTGAGAGGCTGAGGCAGCAGGAGTGCCACAAGTTCAAGGCCAGCCCGGGCTACATAGTGCTTTCAACACCAGTCTAAACTCATGGTGAAACTGTCTCAAGAAACCAAAAACAAACAAACAAAAATTCAAGGTGGAATTCAGGCTAAAATTAAGAAGAAAAAACAAACCATGGAGACTGAATTGAAGCAATGACTGCAAAGAATGAATGAAAAAGAAGAACATTTTCTAGAGGAGAATGGGCATGATTGGTGGCAGGAAGGAATCAGAGATGACAGATGGTTTTTTTTTTTTTTTTTTGTCTTTTTCCTTTTTATCGGTACCGGGGATCGAACTCACGACTGCCTGCTTGCAAGGCAGGCGCTTATGCCGCTGAGCTAAACCCCCAGCCCCCGACAGATGGTTTCTGATTTGGGCAGCCACCATCCAATGAAACATGGGACCAGGAGACAGTGGCAGTTTAGGGTTAGAATGAATGGGAACAGGGGCCAATTACTTGACCTGCTGAGTATAAAGTACTTTTCCAGGACATCTAGGCCAGAAGGAAATGTTAGCTTGGAGCTCAGAGAGGAAGAGGAAGTTGAGAGACGCACTGACTCCCAGATCTTTAGGTGCTTGTCCCCGAGTTGAAGGAGAAAAGTTGGTGCAGGGAGAGTGTGAAAGGAGGAAGCTGAGGGTAGGCCCCCGAGGAGGGGCTCCTCAGGCAGCCTGTGAAGGGACAGCCAGAGACGGAGGAAAGCTGGATCAGTCTTGATGAGAAGAAAATCACACGGGCAGTAAGGAGCGAGAGTCAGACATGACTCAGGCAGGGGTGAGCTGCAAATAGTTGCTTGGATCTGGCACCTGAACTGACTTGCAAGACCTCCACAGCAGCACCTTATGGGAAGTGGTGAGGGTGAGCCGGGCTGCAATCAGCTCCAGAGCTTTTTACCTTTAATCTTGGCCCAAATCATCAATTTTGAAGTGCAGGCCAGTCAAAGTGTGACACAGCCAGTATAAATTGATTGCTTTGTTCTGAGTTTTTTTAGTCATTCTGTGAGATGGATCTTCCTGTGTTCAGTGTTAATCTTCCCTTCCAGAGCTGGTTCTCCTTCTTTTTTTCAACCTGCTTTACCTTTGCTGAACTTTGTATAACCTCAGTTTTGCTTAATTGTGACTTCAGGTCAAAAGGTGTCCTCCATCTAAGAAGAGAACCCAGTCCGTACAAGGAAGAGGCAAAAGGTAACAGGTTTTCCAGACTGAGGTGTGGTTTGGCTTTATTGGAGAGCTCTCTACGTGTGGCACACGTTAGCCACCACTGGCCTACCCCAGGACCTTCTTCAGTGCTTCTGCCACATTCTGTGTCTTCCCCTACTTTTTTGTTTTATTTTGTTTGCAGTACCAAGAATTTAACTCGAGGACAGCTGAGCTACATGGCCAGCCATCTTTGTTTTTTAACTGTTAGACAGTGTCTCACTGGCCCAAGTGGAACTTAAACTTATGATCTTCTTGCCTCTCGGGTAACTGGGATTCCAGGCATGTGCAGCCTCCCCTTTTTTTCAAGCCAAACAGGGAAAATAAAGCTCAGAAGAGAACAGTAGGAACTGCATATTATGTTGACTTACTTAACTATCCATGTGTATATACAACTACCAGAATTGGCCACAGAATAGTTGTCACTTTCCCGTAATTTGTTTCTTGAGAGGGTCTAGGTCCACGGGCTTGGACTGATTATGCTGGACTCCACTATAAACCATTTGAGAGCACAGGGCGCATCTTAGGAAAGGAGGCACTGAGATGGACGTGTTTCTGAATGGAAGGGCTCCTCCTTTCTTCTCTGATGTGGGGAGGCAGCAGGAAGTTAACAGCTGCCTTGCTAGAGAACAGGAATTCCACCTGGAGAGCCTTTGCATGGCCAAGTGGTTTCTTGAGCTTGCTTGGGAGTCTAGGCTAGAGGCGGACTCTTGTGGTCAGTTTGGCTCTTCCCTAACTGGCTGTGTGATCTTGGGCAAGTTCTTTGAACTCTGTGTACCTGAGTTTCCCCGTCTGTAAATGAAGACGTGAATAGCACTTATCTCTGAAGGGGGCTGGGAGGGTCAGTGTCGGACATGATCAGGGTTCTCCATGTGTTACCTGTCTTTGCAGCTGCTGCTGCTGTCATTGCACCTGAGAGGGACATACTTCATGCCTGTTTCTTAACCTGTAGGTCAAGCTGTGACGACTTTGTAACCCCAGCTATGGGACGAATGGAGCTGTCTCTGGTGAAACCAACTCCAGGCATGACACCCCGTTTTGACTCCAGGTGAGCAATGCTGCTTGGTTGCACGTGGGAGCCCAGAAGCACTCAGAGAAGAAGGAGAGTTTGAGGAATGCTCCTGAGCCCTTGGCCTGGGGAGCCTCGGCGTGGGAGCCATCTCAGGTTCCACTGTTTTCAGTAGCAGAATGCTTCTTTGTCTGATGAGAGAAAGGATATTCTGCCTGTGATGATTAGAAAACCTCTGTGTGATTCTTGGCCCCTTCTGATCCTGGTCAGAAGTTCTTCAAAGTTAGCTAGGCATTTGCTTATACCCTTGATAGGAGTGAAAACTGATGCCACCTCTTTGAAGGCCAACATGAGTGAGCATGTTTAGAGCACAAGATAATACGTTCCTCGGGTTGGTTGAGCTAGAGAGTCCTTACAGAAGACTGTGTGTGTGTGTGCTACAGGGAAGGAGCCACATGGCTACAACCTCTCCAAGCAAGTTGCAGAACAGTGTGTAATATGTGATCCCATTTGCTTTATATACATGGGAGTTTTCTGGAAAATACAGTAGGAATTAAGAATGGTCACCTGGGGAATGGAGCAAGCAGTGGTTATCTGGGGTGGAGACACTGAGAAATACTTTCTACTTTTAATTCCTACTTTCCTGCTTATGCATATGAGCATGTAACAAAAGGCATTTAAGAGAAAGCAAGACCTGCACTTTAAGCCTGGAGAAAGGCAGTTTGGGGATTAGTATAATGATGTAATTGGCATCATCTTCCTTTGGCCCTGGGAAGTCCCTCTTGATAGAGGCACTTAGCCACTCAGGAACACAGTAACCAGTTTATTTCTGGCTCTGGATGGGTGGATGACTGGCACCCATGCAGAGCTTTCGTCCTAAAATTTAAAAGATAAGGGTTGACTTTCGTTAGATGTATGTATGATAATTACAACTTTCTTTCTCCAGCTGCATTTAGTCATTGTTGCTTTCAAGAGAAAAAGTTTTCCCTAAATTTAGAACTTGCTTAGAAATGTGTGATTGGAAAGCTGCAGCTTGAAACCAGCTGGAAGTTGGACAGGCTCGCTGCATCTGGTATCTTTTAGCCTGCAAAACTATCTTCACAGAGCTTTTCTACTTTGTAGGGTCTTCAAGACCCCCGGCCTGCGCACCCCAGCAGCCAGGGAGCAGATCTACAACATCTCTGTCAATGGCAGCCCTCTCGCTGACAGCAAAGAGATCTCCCTCTCTGTGCCAGTGGGCGGCGGTGCGGTTAGTATTGCCCCAGGAGCCAGAGCGACGTGCACTGCTCGCTGAAGCATTTCTTTTTCCTGGACGCTGTCCTCCTGTCTCCCTCACAGTCCTTTCAGTCGTGTGGTTCGTGGTCTCCATGAGACCCCAGTTTCTATCCAGTTGGAGACTCAGGTGGGAAGGTCCGTGCCTGACTCATCAGCTATTAGTGCCAGTGGTTACAGCAGGCCCGAAGTGGGGACATGGTTCCTGCCCCGTTCAGTAGAGCTGGGTCCTCAGTTACAACATCTGTGATACGTGCAGTAACAGAGGTCTTAAAGGGAATGCAGAGGGCCTCTGGGTTACAGGTCTGTCTAACAGAGGTGACATGGGCTATATCTTCAAATCTACGATGCTCAAGGATTCTGAAGCAAGCTGAGCCTGGTTTCTCTGAGCTGAGCAGGACAAGCTGTTGACCTCAGCCCTCATGAGAGGAACATGGCTTATCTCAGTGTGGTCTGCATGGCATTTCTAAGCTAATGTGCGTGCACTTGTACCCAGGTAATCCCCCTGACAGCCAGTCGTAGCACTGACAACGTCATTGTCTCCTTTGGCCTAACACCTCTCCTGCCTGCGTTGCTTCTTGTCCGTTTTGCTCATCACTGGATATCAGAGGGCACACTGGGCTGCTGGGGGATGTTCCTGTCTGAGAAGAACATGCCAGTTTAACCCATTCTCTCCACACAGAGCATGCGGTTATTGGCCAGTGACTTGCAGAGGATCGATATTGCACAACTGGATCCAGAGGCCTTAGGGAACATCAAGAAGCTCTCAGTGAGTCTCATGTCACTCATCACACGTACAAGGCCTCTAGTACCTTTCTTGGTTTAGCTCTCTTTGATATTGTCTTTTGGGTCTGGCCTAATGGATATACTTAAAACCATGTTACCTCTTTTCCCCCTATGAGATTTTAAATATTTTTGTACTTAAATATTGGAAGCTCAATCCATAGTACAGAGTTTCAGCCAATTCTCAAGTGCCTACATTGAAGTTGTAAAACGAAGTTCTATCTCAGCCAGCCATTTGGGGCCAGGGTATGCTTAGGCCCTCCTTTATGAGCAGAAATTGGGACCTCCTTATAGAGCCTCCTTATAGTAGGAGGAGAAGAATTTGTTATAAGGCATCACACAGAATCAAAGAGCTAAAGAACATATTAAGAAAAGAGCTAAACAGAGTGCCGGGGACCACCAGCAGCAGCGTTACGGGAGTGTGGTGCGCCATCTCCAGCCCTGGGCCTGGCACTCGTTTCTCCTGCGTGTGTTCGTTCTCCCTCAGCACTCACCTTCTCCATGAGGCCCCTCTGCCCTCCCTCAACACTGACTTGTGTGTGCCTTCCTTTGGGGAACCACTAACTTCATTGTTCCAGTGCAACCTTGTTCAGTTTCCTTTAAATCCTCAAGAGGAGGGGCTGGGGATTTAGCTCAGCGGCATAAGCACCTGCCTTACAAGCAGGCGGTTGTGAGTTCAATCCCCAGTACCGATAAAAAAAAAAAATCCTCAAGAGGAAGAATTTAATGCCCAGCTTGTGTCTGATAAACCTCCCTGGTCTAGTTATCTGTGGTCTCAGGTGGGAGATGGGATCATGTGATACAGACACAATGCTGTAATCTCACCCTTCTGTGCCATGTGTGAAGGGCAATCCTGGGAAAGGGGACAAGGGTGGAGCTGGGTTTCCACACACACACACCAAGGACCCACACACACTCAGCCATCCAAATCATGTGTTATGTTTAAGCACCACTCTGTATGATACCTTCCCTATCTCACTCAAGATTACATTTTACTTCTTTGTTCAGGTGAAAATTGAGATTTAGAAAGGTTAGCTAGTGTATAATACAAATAGAAAATGGAAGGGCAAGGATTCATTCAGACCTGTTCTTGGGTAGACTAAGTGGCTGCCCAGCCAAACGTGCCATGTGCTATCTTCGTTAAATGACTTCTCTTTTTAGAACCGTCTCGCCCAAATCTGCAGCACCATACGGACCCACAAATGAGAAGACTACAGAACACGTCAGACTGGATCAGAACATGTGTATCTCCCTTTCCCCTCCTGTTTCTCCTTTTCTGGTGCAAGGAGGAGGGGGGACTACCAAGGGGGCCCCTAGAATTTTTCACCTGCTGTACCCAGCAGTTCTTGGCAACCCAGTTTGTGGAACAGCATTTTGTGTTTATTCCTGTTTATCAAAGACCAAAAATTGCTTGGAGGCAACTTCCATTTCTTGCACCTCTACCTCTCTAGTTAATGGGAATTTAGATAAAGGAATTACAGGACTTAGAGTAGTCGAGGGTTTTATGTGACCAACCACAGAGTAACTGTCTCTAAGCTATGTGATCCAGTGGTCACTACTGAGTCTGCCAGCTGCATCTGATGAGGATGGGATTCATCGAGAGGACAAGAGCAACTTGTCTGGCGACTTCATTCCACGTGTTTAACTTATGCCCAAGGCAAGGACTTGATGTGAAATCACCAGTGAGACCTTTGTGCTTCAACAGCCTCTGCCCCAAAGAATCATGTCTTGTGTTCCAAGAATTTGGGGACAAGTATTCTCATTCCCAGGCTTGTAGATACATGGCCTTCTTCTGTTTGGCTCTTGGTTATATTTTATATTATTAAATTCAGTCCTGCACAGACTGAATTGTTTTCAAGTTGTTTTATTTTCCCTTTCCTGTCTTTTGTACATATTGTCTTCCTGAGTAATGGTATCCTTACTTTCAATAAATTTTGGTTTGGTTTGCTTTTTTCAATATTTTCAGTTGTGCCGCATGAATTGGGGTGACAGTTTGTAGCTAAAGCCATTGGAGTCACTGGACAACTCAGTGAAGTATGAAAACCCTGTAGGCAAAATCACTCTGATACCTGAAGGGGTTCACACTCCAAGATCCAGGGCACAGTGACCTCAACCCCTAGCAAGTTTCTCGAACACCCTCATTTCAGGAGCTACAGGTTTACATTTAGAAGGAAAAGTCAGGGCTGTCTACAGTAAAGCTGCAGAGTGAAGTTTCCTGGGTGGCCGTGCTCCACACTGCCAGGCACTTGCAGACCTGCCTTCCTAGAACCGCCCACACTTCATGATCAGCTTGGAGCTCAGGATGGCTAAGGGTTTTCTACAGGGCCATGAGTCAGCCAGCTTGTTGGGACAGTTATGGAGAAGAAAAGCTTTAGTTGGAAGAAAGGTTATTCTGTGCAAGGAAGTACCACAGCTGAGGCTTCTACCTTGCCCTCTTCTGCTGGAGCAGTGAGAAGGGCCTGACTTCAGGCATCATCCAGAACCCAACATGCTTTACCCAGAGCCAGATGCACCCTGGTTCGCTCCATCTACACCATTAGCAAGACAAACTTAGCTGTAGGAAATGCTCAGTGAGCAATAGGTACTAAATTAAGCCTGTGATTGTGTTAGGGTATTCCATGCTATAGAACAGGCTAGCTTGGTGTTTTGTCTTTGTTGTTGATGCTGGGGTTTGTTGTTTTGAAACGGTCCCTCTGTAGTTCAGGCCTTGAACTCACTGTGTAGCCCTGGCTGACCACAAACTCACAGCTGTCCTGTCTCAGCCTCCCATGTGCTGAGATTATAAGCCACTATGCCTAACTAGAGGCTAGTTTGGAAGGTACAATTCCCCATCCCAGAAGCTGAAGGCACAGACTATGTCACAGGACTGGGGTATTGCAAAGAAAATTTCAATCTTGAGTGCGAGTCCACGGACATAATTTCACTAGCACTTTTTTGGTTGGTTTGGGTTTTGTTTTAAAGTTTTGATAAGTTGCTATAATTTTGGTTTGTTTTTGAGACAGTCTTTCTATGTAATTTAGGCTGTCCTTGAACTCACTATGGAGTCAAAACTCAGGGCAACCCTCTTGTCTTGGCCCCCTAAAATGATCCCCACCTCTCACTGTATCAGTCATGATCATTTTGTTGTCTGTCTCTTGTTCCAAAGAACGTCACTCCTTTTCTTTTACTTCTGTCATTTCTGTCTCGCTGGTCTCTACCCCTGGGTTTATCTTCTGTGGGGGTCTCTGTGCCTGGTCTCTGAACTGTTTGCTCCTGGGTGGTGATGGGCACTATACTAGTTCTCTGGGTCTCTGGAGTCTTCCTGACTCTTGGTGCTATCTTCCTTTTTCTCGTGCCCTCTGGACTTGGAACCTTTGGTGGTGTTTGGCACCGCACCACTTTCTTCACTAAATGACCTTGAGGGGTTTGATTCTTACGACGCTTGGAATTACTTGGAAGTCTCTGACTTCCCCTTCTGCCAGTCACTTTATTTTCCTCCGTTTCATCCTCTTCATTGTTAGTATTACAGTCACTGTCTGAAACGGGGTTTTTCCTCCTCCTCTACCTGAGTTTGTAGAATTCATTTCTTGGGGGCTGGGGATTTAGCTCAGCGGCATAAGCGCCTGCCTTGCAAGCAGGCAGTCCTGAGTTTGATCCTCAGTACCGATAAAAAGGAAAAAGACAAAAAAAAAAAAAAAAAGAATTCATTTTTCCTGGTATTCTGCCTCTGAATTTATTTCATCTGAGTAGTCTCTTGGTTTTATTCTAGAACTGCCTTCATGAAAGCTGCATTTAGTACTTCCTCACCAGCTGCTTTAGGAGGGGCCCATAAAATCCACCGAGATCCTTCTAGTGCGGCAGCCCTTTTTTCCTCTTCAGCACTTTCTTGCAGGTTTTTTTTTTTTAAAACAAGCAGATGTCACAAATGCCTTATCTTCAAATTCTCATTTTTCTAATTTCTTATTCTCTGTATTTTCCTTCCATTTTTTTTTTTTTTCCTGTTCCTTTTGTCTGATCTCAACCGCTTTTAGTAAGTTGTGGATATACCTGGGCTTTCGATCTTTCCCCTAAAGTAATTGGGATTACTTTGTTCATTTTCTTCCTCTATCTATCTCATCATAAGTACTGTCATATTCATACACAGTGAAATCTTCCATATTCTAGTTTGGTCTGTGTCAGGGCTGCTTCTTAGCAGCTTCCTTCTGAAGACTGTCACTCAGAGAGTTGTCATCAGAATCATTCCCAAATACTGATAGTTTTTGCAAAAATAGGATGCAACTGCAGTGTTTTCTTTGGCAAAATAAGCCTATGCCTCCTGCCTAGAACGCCATCTTGCTCCCTTCTCAGTTGCTAGTATTTTTAAAAATAGCCTCCAAAAATAAGATGTGGCAACATAGGCCCACAGGCAGCTAGAGGGGAGTACCAGCTTTCTTGGCCCTCAGAGAATCCTCTGGCACAAGGCAGTCCCTATGAGATTACTTCCTCTGGTATAATTTACCTCATCCTTCTAGGTAACCTAGTTTGTGCCATTTCTTATGGGTACCAAACAACTCAATGAGAGCTACTCTGGACAAAGGGAAGATGGGAGTCTTTCCCTGGGACCTCTAGGCAGACCAAGGCTCCCAGAGCTCCAATAAAGAGTAGGTTCTTTGTTCCTCAGGGGGCATTCTCTGCCTGGGGTTTCCTGTTGAAACCCTTACAAAGAGTTAACATTATTCATTTGAAGAGCTAATCCATGGGGGATTGCTAGGCATTGTTTCATACCAGGAGACCACTTTCTTAAAGGTATTAATAGCCCGCCTCCCCCAATTATAATTAATGTACCAATGAAGGGCTCACCTCTTAGTGTGTCCCATAACCACTGGAAAGCAAATGTATCTCCATGCCTAAAGTGTGCATAACCTCCAATAAGTGCTTTCATTTTGTATTTTATGCGGTAATTGTGCCACACTTAAAATTTAGCAGGGTACATGTTAAGATTTTTTACTAGGCTGGGTGTGGTGGTGCATGCCTGTAATCACCACACTCTGGAGGCTAAGGCAGGAGGATCTCCATGAGTTTGAGGCCAGCCTGGGCAACATAAGCAAGTTCAAGGGCAGCCTGAACTGCATAGTGAGACCCTGTCTCAAGAAAGAAAAGAGAGAGACAGACAGACAGACAGACAGACAGAGAGACAGAGAGAGAAATTTTATACTGGATAGTTTATGTAGTTTCAGAAGTAAAAGTGCTGAAAGACACACAAGGGTTCAATTAGAATTGAGGTCTGCTCAGTGGGAGCTCCCTCATGCAGTGAAAGTCTGGAACCCGATTTGCTCTTTAGCAAAGTGCTGTGTCTGTGGATAGGATGTGGTGTTTCTTTAGCCCTTTATCCTTCCTGTGCCGTCTTATCTTTCTGTGCCTATCAAATATCTTGCATCTCCCCACCCTCTCACTGCTGGGACTTCTTGCCTGCACTGCTGTCCACTTCCCCTTGGTTGGTATTAGGGTTTGTGTAATAGTGTTTTCAGATCCTCAGTGATGGCCACAATAGAGGACAGATGTATTCTTCACACCAAGATACAATACATGTTGAGTGCCCACAAGCACACTGTGTAACGCAGAGTGCCAAGGACCATTGAGGTGGAGATGCAACAGTCTCCAGGAGTGTACCTTAAATCACCTGCAAAGGTCACACTGGCAAACCCCACCTTGACACATCAGAATGCCCCAGCTGGTGGTCAAGAAGGGAATGAAAAAAAGAATGCAATGGCAGAGAAAGGAGCCCGCCTAGGAAGGCATCTAAGGATGCAACAGGAAAACACATTTGGATTTCCATTTCTGTTGTGCATACACACACAAGCAGTTTTGGTCAAAGCATGTCTCTTGTCTGCCAAGATGCAGATAGCATCAGGAGGTCATCCATGATAGGAATCAGCTGACTGTTCTCCGATGCCCCATGACCTCAGGGCCCTATCTAATAAAACAGGGTGAGAGGTTCCTAAGGAAGGCAGCAAGATTTTTTAAAGATGCTGGCAGACACTTCAATTTAAATGACAAAAGAATATAAAGAGGTTGAAGATGGTACAGTACGGCAAGTTTCACTCACCTCCTGAACAGTGGAATGAATATGATGCTAGATGGCCTCTGCTGAAGTCCAGAACTCAGGTGTCAGTTGGCAAGGCCATGAACTTGCCACTGGGTTTTCCCCTGGGGGACGCCTCCCTCCTTCCAGGGGCTAGTCAAGCAGACCTTGTCACGTGCTCCTGAAATGCCTAATATCGGTCCTTAATGCCCCTCATGCTTTTTACTTAACTGATTCCTCCATTAAGCAATGACTTCTTAGCCAGGCACAGTGGCATATGCCTGTAATCCCAGCACTTGGGAGGCTGAGGCAGAAGGATCTCTGAGTTTGAGGCCAGCCTGAATATATAGTGAAACACCTCAAAAAAGACCAAAAAAAAGCAATGAGGTCTTAACTTCCCAGTGCTGGCCTAGTACATGTTCACCAAAAACAAATACCTGATCAAATTAGAAGATCAGCAGGCTCACTGCCCAAAGAACTCGCCATCCCTCACTTCCTGACCATAGCCTACAGGGCTGTGTAGGGTGTAGGGTGCACGCCTGGAAGCCTAGCACTCAGGAGGCTGAGGAAGGAGGATCACCTCGAGTTCAAGGCCAGCCTTGGCTACCTACTGAGATCCTGTTTTAGAAACAAACAAAATGCCTGACCGTACACAGGTCTGCCTGGTGCTCACACCTTACTAGCATTAATACTCAGCGCATCCCAGGAGTCAAGCCTGTGAACTTGGGGTTCCTCCGTCCCCTGGTTGCATGCTGTCTCCTGAGCTAACCCACTCTTCACTCCTCCGCACAGGAAGCAGTGGCTTACTTAATGGGACGGGGGGAGGAGAAAGCACTTGCTTGACTTCCTCCACATCTGCCTACCCACAAGGAAGGCACCTCTGGTCTTTCCCTCACCATGTGGCAGCTGAGTGAGCAGAGGAGGCCTGCGCCATCTGGTCAGCCTGGCACTGGAGTGTCTAGTTCAGGGGAATGGTGGGAAACACTGTCCCCCATGTACCAGTCTTGGAGATGCATGTACATTGTACACATCGGGATGTCTTCGAAAATGGGATGGTATCTGCCAGCCAGATGGGATGACATGGTTTAAGTAGCAGGAATGTCTCTTTCCTAAGCATGTATCTTACACCTAATGGCATCTTACAGTCAAAGAAACATGTTGAGCAGCGTTCTCCAGTTAGGCTTATTAAGGAGCTGGTACATGTGAATCTCCCAAGAGAAGGAACAGGCTGTTACTGACGAGCACTGCCCTACCCTGCAGGAGGCCTCTGCGTGGCCCAGACCACGAGGATGAATGAGATGTCTTCCCCAGCCTGTCGACAAGGGCAGCCAGCCTGGGAGAGAAAGAGCTCTAGTGAGCCAATTAGGGTAGCCAAGGCTTGGTGGGCAAGTGCATACACACGTGTGTTCTGCACAACCACATGTGCAAGCCATGTGCACACAGCACCAGGGCCTGCTCCGGCACTCCTGGCCTCAGCGCTCGCTCCCCTCCAGTCACCATCTTAGCCCACTCTTCCTCCTGCCTGTGCTGCACTCCTCAAAAGATTCCCAGGCTCCACACCCCAGTTCGCTGGTATGGCTTTGCCACTCCTCCCCCAGGCCACAGGCATTCAGTTGAGGGCACCGTCAGAGGCTGAATTGGGTCCACCCGACTCTGGTGCAGAAGTCCTAACTTCTACTAACTCCAAAAATGACCTTATTTGGAGACAGCATCTTTAAAGGGAAGATTAATCTAAATGAAGCTTTAGGATGGGCCAATACAGACCAGTCCACTCTGGCTGCTGTTCCTGTAGAAGGGAGTAACCTGGACACAGGAGACTCAGAGACCAAGAGAGGGAAGGCCATGCAGAGACACAGGGAGAAGACAGCCATCTACAAGCCAACGAGAAACACAGAGCACAGCCTTCTTCACCACCCTTTCACAGCAGGACACCGCCATCTTGGACTTCCAGTCACACTGGTGCAGCGATCGGTTCCTGTTGGGTGGACCACCCAGTTTCCAGTGCTTTATGGCACTGGTCCACACCAGTGAATCCAGTCCCTGACAGTACCTAGACCGAGTCACTCTTCATTCTCTGCTGCCCGGTTTCCCTATCTCACACCATGACACTTTCTTAGGCTGCAATGTCAACTCCTGCTGTCCTCTGCCTCCCTCCCTCCCTCCCACTGTTCCTCACATTCCGCTTCCTGTCCCCTCTCCACCCAGTTAGCTCCTAATGCTGTAGTTTCTCCAGGTTCCTCTGTCCTGCATGCACTGACCCAGATGACCTCCCCATTGGGCTTCAGACCCCAAGGCTCTGTCACTAACCTGTATCTGTGCTTCAGGTTCCAGGTCAATGTCCACCTGCATCCCAGACATCTCAGCCTGCACTTCCCGCAGCATCTGGAACGTGCATCCAACTAATTTCCTGCCCCTGCCCTCTACAGAGTCAATCTCAGGAAAGGCTACCATCTCCTTAGGGATGTTGTCCTTGGTTTACTGCACTGGAAGCTGGATGACACCATTTTCTACAGCCCCAGGGCACCCAAAATGTTCCCTTTATCCTAACCACACGCTTATGTCATGTTCCCTAAATGTGTCCCCACTGGCCTGTGACATGTATCATGAAAAGAACAGGGTCTGTTTCACATTCATGCAGAGGAACCTCAGATAGACACCCTAGATTCACCTTCCCAGGAGGGGATGAAGAACCTCCCACAGACTTCTTGGAGGGTAAAAAACTGCCACTCGGAGAGGCACATCACAGACAAGTTTTTATTTGTCCTGCATATAGAACCCAATAAATATAAAAATCTCCAAAATTAGTCACCTCCCCAGTAGGGCCCTTCCCTCCCTGGGTGGGCCCAGATGGGGTGATGGGGGTTGCAGGCCACTCCTCCTGTCCAGTGAACAAGTTCCACATATAAAAATAGATCTTTAAAGGGCTCCCCACGACCCACTGCCCCGCGTCAGGTCTGTGCCTGCACAGGGCTAAGGCCTGGGACCCTTAGCTATCCTGGACCTCACTCCTCAGTGGAGGGGAGGTCTACCCTGGACACCGAAGTCCTCCAACGCAGCCAGGAGTCCCTCCACACAACAGTTAGGGGAGGAGCACTTCAACCTTAAGAGAATGATTTGGCTGGTGAGGGGTGAGCTTCTGTCCACCTGAGACAGGGCGCTGGTCCCAGAGTTCCCTGGACAGGGTGATGAAAGGAGAGATGGGGGGGGCGCGGGAAGGGACCACCAGCCCTGTCAAAGGTGGAAGCAGTACTTATCCTGCCCCACTAGCCCCAAAGCCACCGAGCTCACGCAGGTCTCAGAGGGGGGGTAGCCCAGAGTGGGTGTGGGGGCTCCGAGGAGGAGGAGCTGCTACTGGCAGGGTGAGGCCAAAGGCACTGCTGGGAGTCACTGGCCTCCGTCACAGGTCCTCCCCGGAGCTGCGCTGTGCCTGTCAGGCCCTTGGCTCCTTCTCAGTGAGTCCTTGCAGTCTCCTCTTGTCTTTGGCTAAGAGACCTCGACCCACCCCAATGAAAGAAATCCCTCTCCTCAAGGCTCTGTCAACCTATGTTTCAGCTAAAATACCTTTCTGGACAACGCTCAACACACCCATGTCAAGAGCATGTCCACTGGCCCCTCCAGCCCACCCTCTTACTGACCCCAAGGGCTCCTGGGGGTCCCTGGACACTGGCGGAATGCAGCTTGATTAGTTCTTGCACCTGAGTTCATCTCCCCACCAGTCTGAGCCCCCAGGGCCAGCCTCTGTGTTTCCTTCACCTCTCCTGCAATCCTGCTCTCAGCCTTCCAACCAGTCCCCCCACGACCCCCACCCCCACCCCGCCACAATGGGCATCTCTCACAGGAGCAAACTCTGCCTCCACAGCCCTGATCACATCCTGGCCACAGAGTCAATACTGCTGCAGGGCCCTTCTGGGTAAGGATTCCTGGAATCAGCTCAACACGGCCACTCTCCCAGGGCTCTGCAGAAGCCAGAAGTAAGAGGTGCCCCTCAGAGGTGGGCCCAGGGACCAAGCTGGCATGAGAGGGTCACCTCTAGAGCATCTACTGCACTGCCCCACAGAAGAAGGCTGGTGCCGGATGGCAAGGCCAAGGACTCCCTCCAGAGCCAGCCTCCCAGGTTCACTCCACCTCACTTCCGGCTCCGAGTCTCACAGGCTGTGACTCCACATCGCACAGTGCTGTTTCCCAGTGTCCTTTTCACCACTTCGCAGGCTGCAGAGCAAGGCTTGTGGATCACCACGGACAGAACATGTCCCCTCATGTTCCACCAGGCAGTGCATAAAGCAAATGCAAATGGGGAGCCTTGTGGAGCCCCAGGAAAGCACCAGGACCACTTGGTCCAGCCAGGACCCTCCCACTCATTCTGCACTGCCATTCCAGGATAAGGACACAGTCAGTGCCTGAGTCTTAGACTTTGGGGTCCAGCCCCTGAGCTCTGTACCACTTTGGCCTCCCTGGGCCTCAGGAGAGGATGCAGACACATCTCAACAGGCCGGGAAAAAGGAGGGAGTATGCCCCTCCAGAACAGCCCCACACGACCAAGATTCCCCGCAGCTGTGGCCACTGCCTCTCAGGGGCTCATGCTGTCTGGCTGGACAACAAGTCTGTGGGAAAAGGGGTCACTCACTGGGGAGGCCCCAACCTCCAGTGGGTATGGAAGACAGAGGGGCATGAGCCAGAGCAAGCGAAATCTACTGTCTCCCATTCTCTGCCTCAGTTCTGTCCCTGAGACCCTGGATTTCCTCCCCACAGTTTTGAACCTCTTTTCCAAGGGCACCAGGCCAGAAGGGAAAATGGAAAAAGCAGGCAGTGAAATGAAGGACACTGTGGCCCCAAACCAGCTCTGGGCTTGAAGAGAAAAACAGCGTTCACCCCCACCCAAATACGCCAGGATCGTTGCTTGGGCAGGCCTGGGGTCTGGCCCCTGCTGGGCCTACCTTAGAAGAAAGGGGGCACTCACACCTGCACCCCCTGACCCTGCAGCTGCAGCACTCGAGCCTGCAGAGCGCTGATCCCACTCAGGAGGGCTTCTCGATGTTCAGCAGAGGAGATGCCCAGGTGTACCAGGTCCCTGGAACAAGGGCTGCTCAGACCCAGCTTGTCAACCCCTCTTCTGTCCCTCCCACATCCCTCTCTGCTCTCCCTCCCTTCTCTGGATGGGGCAGGGTAGAATCAGGACAGGCAGGGGCTTCCCATCTAGGCAGAGGCAGTGTCTCTGCCTTGGCTTCTCAGACTCACTGGGAAGTCATCTCAGCCACAGCTTCCAAGCTCCCATAGCCAGCCGCTGTAAAGCTGTCCTTGTAGCGGCACAGGTCCAGGGCCTCCAGCCAGGCCCCCACGGAGCCAAAGGAGGGGAACGTGGAGAAGGCACGGTCTGCCAGGGGTGTGGGAGGCCTGGGGAGAAGGAGCTGTGGTCAGCCGACAGTGGGATCTGGTGCCCAGACCTAGCTGCTACCCGGAAAGACGGGGAGAGGGAGGGCAGCTGAGCCCCAGAGACAGGCTCTAACAGCACTTTGCAGCCCAGAAAAGGCAAGGCTCAGGGTACTTAGGCAGGTAGAGAGTTGAAACTGCTAAACTGGTAGCATCTGAGACAGTCCAAAATGCACCTAGGATGCAGGTACGGCAGGCGACACATATTTTGAACAACTGATATTAAATTCACTTATTTTAATTATTGGAGCTATACTGGGCACCATAAATATCTTTATCGAGTCAGTGGTCACTGTACAGAGATATGTGGGGGGAAATGCAGGATGAGTGGATGTGAGAGATGTACCTGAGACACCTGAGGTCATGGGGGTGATAGATCTATCTGGGGCACCTGCTGAGGGGTGGAACCCAGACAGGTGAGGTGTCGAATTCGGGACTCTGGTGAAGCCATTCACAGACTGGTGAGAGGTCAGCTGAACCTGGTATGGACGGGTATCAGTGGGAAGGTACCTGGGACAGGCGGTTGTGGCACACTTTGAAGGTTCTGGGTCTTGCACCATCTTGCTCAAGATGCTGTGGATCTGGGTGAACCTAGGCCGCTCGCCTGGGTCTTTCTGCCAGCAGTCAAGCATCAGTCGGTGCAGGGGGGAGGGACAGTTCCTAGGGGGTGGCAGCCGGAAGCCATCTTCCACAGCCTTGATCACCTGGGCCGTGGTGATGGGGAACAGAGAAAAGACTTCAGGTGCCCCCAACTCACACTCAGACACTCTCTCTCTCTCTCTCTCTCTCTCTCTCTCTCTCTCTCTCTCTCTCTGTAAGGAGGACTCAGGCAGGATGGGAAGCAAATAAACACAGAAAAGAGACCTGGAGCTAGAAGGTGAGAGGTCAAAGGCAAGGAGCTGGAGTCATAGGTCACTCACATCTTGGCCAGACATGTCCCAGTAGGGCCTCTCGCCAAAGGCCATCACCTCCCACATGACGACGCCAAAGCTCCACACATCACTGGCAGAGCTGAAGTGGCCGAACTGAAGCGTCTCAGGGGCGGCCCAGAGCGCTGGGCTCCGGCCACTCTGTTGGTGGGCAGGCAGGCCAGGCAGGAAGGAACTGAGTCACAGCCAGGCTTCCCCACCCCACATTCAGCCCCATCCATCATTCTCTAGGCAGCCCCCCATTCCCAGCTTCGCACTTGGGGAAGCCAACCCAGCTGACCACAGCGGGGACCCACAGTGGCATTAACTCAGGACCATCTGGGTGAAGGGGCAGGGTACAGAGAGACCCTGACAGCACGGAGGGACCCTAACAGCAGGGAAGGGGCTTGGTGGGGGCAGACAGAGACTGCTGGGGGAAGGACCTCTCACCATGGTGGTGTAGACAGCCTCAGCTCGGTCTCGGGGGCCCCGCCCAAAGCCAGACAGCTTACAGATGAGGCCACTGCTGACCAGCACACGGCGGGCGGCAAGGCCCCGGTGAACATAGCCCATCTCCGACAGATACTTCATGGCTGATGCCAGTCCAGGCAGAAGTCCCAACAGCTGCTCAGCCACCAGCTGCCCCTCATGATGCTGCAGATGGGAGGGTGGACTGAACCCAGGGCTTTGTGCTCAGATCTCCTAGTACTGTGGACTCCAAGGAGGCCATTCAGCCCTCAATGGGCTTCATTGTACCCTGTGACTCCTAGGTCAGTCTGGCCAGGGGGAATGATACCAATTCCAAGCCCACCAAGGAGAAAGTGAAAAACCAAGAATAAGCTGGCCGTCCATACCCCAGGGGCCCAGACCACTCACCCTGAGGAAGCTGTCCAGAGCCCCAAGGCCCATGTACTCAGTAACAATCATCAAGGGGCTTCCTGTGCCAGGGGTGGGGACACACATGCTAAGTTGCCTGTGCACACACACACTCCCTCCATGGGGCCCCCATCTTGGCTCACATGGCCAAAACCAGAGTCAAGTTCCCTAATCTTGCTACTCTTCTGCTCAACCCACATCCCCCAGGCAGAATAGCAAAAGAGGTATCTATAGGGGAACAGAGGCCAAGATCAGGAACTACAAGTTAGTTAAATCACCCAAGGTCAATCCCCAGTGGCACTGTAAATCAGAAAGTGACTATAGGTGAGTTCCCACTCCAGGAGAGGGGTCACCCTGAGTCAGTGAAAGCAAACTAAAGCCCACGTCTAGACTCCCTCCTCCATGACTCCTGGAGCCCCACCACCACCACCACTACCTGTCCTTTACGTTTACAGCAGACAATACAGCTCCAGACAGGCCTACCTCGGGTGACAACCCCCTCCAGTCGCACAATGTGGCTATGGTCAAACTGGCCCAGGGTGAGGGCCTCGGCCAGGAAGCTGAGCCTTTGTGAGTCTGAGTAGCCATCTCTCAGAGTATGCACAGCCACAGGTAGCTCTTGGCGGCCAGGTAACTGCAAGCAGCCACAGCACAGGTCCCCAAACCGCCCTGTGGAGAAACAGCACCTCAGTTTGCCCCCTAAAGACCACACCTGCTCCCGGTGTCCAGTGTGGCAGCATGAACCAAGGATACAGTGACTCTGGCCTGGCATGGGGAACTCCTGAGTTTCCATCCTGGTAATCTGAGTACCAGCAGTGTGACCCTGGGCTTCACCCTTTTCCCCCCCCCTGAGCCTCAGTTTCCTTCCCTGTAAAACTTCAGACATGACATTGCACATGCCAGCCCCTAACAGGCCATTAATCCCAGCATGAGCCAGGACAGGTGACGATGACATCTATTCTGCCTCTTGTGACCAGTGTCAGGAGAATGTCGGGCTTCTGGTGAAAAAGCTGGGTTTCTCTGATGGCATGAGGCTGAGGGTTCGTGGACAGGTAGAGTCAGGAGGGGACTGACCTGAGTGAGCAAGTTCACCGCATCGCTTGGATGAGGCAGAGGTTATGCCCATCTTACTGATGAGAAACTGAGGCTTCAAGCAGAAAAGGGTCATGCCTTGGCAATGCAGCTCACTGGTGGCAGCGCCAGAATCAGAACTCAGCTTATAAAAGTTCCTCCTGCTGCCTCCTAAAGACCAGGCACCAAATGGCCAGCACAGACAGCAGTGGCTAACCCTGAGTGGGACTGGGTAGAGAAGTCTTAGACTGACCCTGGTGATCCCAGAGGGTAGAGAGAGTCATAGACCCTCTGGTGGGCAAGGAGGGCAGGTCAGTGTGGAGAGGAGCCCCCAGACTCAGGGCTAAGACTCAGGAGGTGGCTGCCTGAGGACCAGGACTGGTGGGTAGAACATCTGGTTGGGTGGAACCAGCTGGGCATAGCTTCTTGGTGGGTGAGGCCTGTGGGAGGAGCTTCCTTGGCGCCCAGCTCACCTGCTCCCAGGCTCCTCTCCAGTGTGATGCTTTTCGCATCCAGCTCCTTGGTGAACAGATGCACAGCCTGCAGCGGGTCCCCACAGCTCTGAGGGTCCAGGAAAGTGCGACGTGTTGGGACTTTGACTGAAAACACAGGGAGAGAGGAAAGCTCCAGTGTGAGGGGTCGTTGCTGGAGTAGGAGGGGTGAGTGACAGGCCAGCAGAGAGGCGGTGAAGTCAACCCCACCTGGTGACCCCACAACTCACAGTGGAAGTACAGTTCCTCTTCCTCATGGGCATCGCCACCTCCTTTACCATAGTTGCAGGGCCTGTGGGTGCAGAAAACCCTTCCACCAGGCCATCCAGCCTTCCCACTTCAGCACCCAGGAAAACACTTTTATATCTCAAATAAGCCCTTCACCCTGGGAAGGGACCTCTTGTCCTGCTGATTGGAAGACCTCTCGATCATTCCTTCTCTGTTTCTTTTTGTTTCTTGCTACCCATCCCCCTTCTCCAAGATTTGGCCCCTTTTGGATGTACACACACAGCCAAGCCCCAGGCCAGGTCTGCACCACCATCGCTTTCCCAGTTATTGTCACTGTGAGATAAAATGAAAACGCTTGTGACTCCAGAGGCTCCCAAATCCACACCCCTGACTTGTGGTTAAGCTGTTCCTGCCTGCATGTCCTCAGGTGCAAAGGAGAAGGCAGTGACCACAGACCACAGCAGACCATCTGACCCACTGGGATCATCACAGAAATCTTGAGACGAGATGCAGTCATGGACCAAAGGCCTGAGTCACAATCAATACAGCCACAGGCAAGCATTTGTTGCCTCCAGGCAGGGTCTTGCTGGGCCAGGAGCAGAGGCAGTGCCTGGGGACCTCCAGCAGGGGAGTAACTGTGCTCCAATTTGCATTTTAGAAAGATCATCCCAGCTGCTGAGTGCAGAGTGCTCTGTGGTTCCTGCAGGAGGCTGGTAGTGGCTCAGGCTGTCAGATGACCATGCCAGGAACAGAAAGGAGAGAGGCCTCAGGGCTTGGAGACTGCTGGATGGCAGAAAGGAAGATGGGGAAGTTGTTCCACAGTTCATTGAAATTCCATTACCAAGATGGGGAAACAGGGGCCCGGGATTTAGCTCAGTGGCACTGAGCACCTGCTTGGCAAGCGCGAGGTCATGCATGAGTTCAATCCCCAGTACCAAAAAAAAAAAAAAAAAAAAACAGGTGAGGAGATAAAAGTGCACATTTATGCATCTGATAAAACCTAAAATTGTCAGTGTCATGATGTAGAGAGTACTGCTGGTGCATGATGTGAACTGTTTAAAGTAATGAGCAACACAGATCCATTTGAGTATCCTCACTATACAGTATGACCTTCTCTCTCTCTCAAAAAAAAAAAAGAATGAAGCAAAGAGAAAAGAAGACCATGCAGCGATGATAGCTAAGAGCTCAGGGTGCCACTTCTCGTTAGAAGCCAGTGAACCAGCACGTAATTCAGAGGCAGGAGTAGAGGTGAGCGGACCACAGTACAGAGCAGGCCCCGCGGGACAGGCAGGAGGTGCTGTGAAGATGTCAGAGTCTGCTAGGTGGGCTTGCATATGGTGCAGTGAGCCTCTTGACCCTCAGCCCGGCCACTTCTCCCCACTGCAGTGGCGGTGGCAGTGGCGAATATGAGTCCGCTCTTGGTTCACTGCCTGCTCCAGGGCGCCTGGCTCCTCAGCACTGCTGGGGTCTGCTCTGGGGTTGCAGCGGGTCTAGTGCAGGCCTGAGGGTCTTGCAGCTCTGGGAGCTCAGCACTCCCTGCTCTTGGCCTGCCTTCCTGACTCAGCCTTCAGTCCCTGTCAGTGCCTCAGTTAAGGCCATGGGAACAGCCAGTGCCAAATCAAGAGTATCTACCCCTGCAGCCCAGAGGTGGCCCAGGTGACTGTGAAGGCTGAGATGTGGCCCCTGGCTCCCTCTACCACCCACTGCATACAAACTTCCCATGTTCTCCAGCCTGCTGACCTATGCTGCAGTCTGCTACCACCTGGGGACCTCGCAAGCACAGAGCCTGGCCCTGGGGAGAAGCAGGGCTGAGGCCTGTGCTGCATGAAAAGACCAGAATCTTCTCTCTTCCAGACTCAAGTTCTACATCTCTCCCTTCCTCTGCCCACTCTCCTGCAAGCTTCTTTCTGGCTTATAGGGTCCCCAATCTTTTTACACAACACACACACACACACACACACACACACACACACACATTTGTTGTTTGTTTCTTCTCTTTGCTTGTGTACAGTGATCTCCAGATCCCTTGGGGAAGGGGCTGAGGGCCTCTGAACACCTCAGGAGAATCATAATCACGCGAGAGCAGCCAGAGCTTGATTCCACCCTCAGTGATGCCTTCTGACATTTAATGAGTTAAGGCGCTAATCCCCTTCATCCCAGAGCGGCTGAGCACAGTTGTGGGAGCTGCCGCACAAGCAGTGCATGGGGGAGGGGCCACGCTGGTCACAGCTGTATCTACACAGCAGTGCCTGTGTGTGTACAGATCAGCCTGTGTATGAAGCAGGTGCAGATACAAGTGATATGGGTGTATGTTAATGTGCACAGAAGAACACACTCTCCAGGGTCACTCAGTCTAGCACCGGCCACCTACCTCCTCCAAATGGCCAGGACACTCATCACAGAGCCCAGGACGAGGAGGGCTGAGATGGTCACCACGGTAACAACAACTGCGGGGCTCTGGTCTCTGGACTCTGAAGTGCCTGGGAGGAAAACCAAAGGTTGAAGCAGGCAGAGAAGCAGGTTTCTTGGGCAGGTCCCAGGACAGATTCTTGTCCCCACCCCACAGGAAGATTCCCTCCAAACCTCTGTACTCAGCACTGCCTTCTAGCTGCAGAGGGACCAAGGTGGCAGCACTGTCCAGAGCGGCATCTGGAGTGCCAGGCAGGGCATCTCCACTACACGCCAGCTCTGAGGGAGGAGCAGGAACCCAGACAATGGGAACAGGCAGCCCTGGGTGCCTTCAGATGGGCAGATAAGGAAGCTGCACAGGGACCAGTCTCTGCTCAGAGCTCCTACCTCTGATCCGGATACTCACCACCCCTAGTAAGAGCCAGTGTTAAACACACAGTCAGCATGATGCTGTTCCTGAACTCTGTTAGCCTGTTTCTTCAACACAACAGCCCAGTGAACTGTTACTGTCTCCATTTTACAGCAGAGGAAACCAAGATTGTGAAAAGTTATATAGTTTGTCCAAGGTCACATAGCTACTATGGGGTGAACCAAGATTTGAACTTGAATCGAAAAGCCTCTGCCTGAGCCTTTGCTTTGAAGTATTTCTCCAGAATGGGTCCACAGAACCCTGTCCTTCTGCCCAGCTACTCATCCATCCATCCATCCATCCACCCATGCAAGCATCCCCTCCTCTATCCATCCGTCACCCAACATGTGAATGAGGCACAGTCCTTGCCCTGGAGCAGTGTGCAGACACCAGATGGAAAACAGAAATGAAATTTTAACTGTAGATGAAAAGAAGCAGAGAGGAGAACAGAGCTGAGCAGAGGCCCAGCAATTCCTTCCTAAAGCCAACGGGAAGCTTTGCAGAAGAGACACACAGAAGCAGCCTGAAGGTGGGTGGAGTTTGCTGATGACTTTTAGACCCAGACACACACGGGTATAGAAAATGGTAAATTGCTCCTGTGGCCAACAACAGACTACATGGGAGAAGAGGGTAGCAAGATAGCTGGGGGCCAGAGGGGTGATGGGAACTGAGAAAAATATGGTCTGGAAACCCAGGCTAAAGAGTGGAGAATTCACCCTGAGGATGACAGGGAACCAGAGGACAGGGTGTAGACTTATGTCCTGGGAGAAAGGAACACTGTCATCTTCTGAGTGGGGCATGGGAATGGAGGGGAAGTGTTCAAGAAGCAGGAAGGTCCAGAGTCTAGGTGGTGCCCAACTGGAAGCCCAGCTATTTGGGAGGCTAAACGGGAAGGATCACCAGTCTGAGGCCAGCTTGTGCAACATACTGAGATACTGTCTTGAATTTAACACACACACACACACAAATAAAATAGCAAACAGCAGAAGTCCTAGGTGGCCCTGAAGACTGAACTGAGTGGAAAAATACATGTTTGTAGGCAGCCTCTACATGGGACAGGAGGAGAAGGATGGCCCGGGCAGGGACCAGCAGGCAGGAGGCAGACACACAGGAGGTGCGGCTGGCAGAGCTGCAGCTGGCAGAGCAGGGAGCATTGCTGATAGGTTAACTTGCAGGAGCTGGGCAGACAGGAATGGGGGCCAAGGGTGCCCAAAGCCTCAGGGATGGGGCAGGATCCAGACAGCTGCCTTTGAGAAGTCACAGGGCAAGCGAGGGGAGGCAGGAGAAGAAGGGAAAGTTAGAGGCCCACAAGGAAGGATCGAAAGGGCACTTCAGAGCCCAGGCCTCCAGAGGTGAGCAGGGCCCAGGTCTGACTGGCAGCAGAAGGTGGGTGGAAATGCCAGGAAGTGTCTGAAATCAGGCACCCATGGGCAACAAACAGAGAAGGAAAGCCTGTCAGGCGGGCTCTGTGCGGCTCTTCGGATGACGACCTCCTTGGTCTTCGTCCCCGTGACTACGGGGCTGGGTCTAGTGACTAACTTCTAATGAACAGAGTACGGCAAATGTGACAGGAAGCCATTTCCACTGTCAGATGACAGCAGCCTGTGGCCCTTGGCTTGGGTGCCTTCAGTCTGCCTCTCACCTGCAGTCTCTGAAGGAGTCCAATGCAGGCAAAACAGCCCTACTGAGGGGCCAGTAGAACAGCAAATGGCACATTCGAGCCCAGCAGAGAGCCTGAGTGGGCCCTAAGGGGACAGCAGCCCAGAGGACAGCCCAGGGGAGACCCTGAGCCAAGGCCACTGGCTAAGTGGCAGCCAAGTTCCTGACCTCAGAACAATACACTCCTATTAGTGTAGCCACTGCACTGTGGTAAGTTTGTTAACAACCCTGATAGTAACCTAACAGTGATACAGGATCCCGCATCAAGATCCTGATGTCTGGGGCTGGGGATTTAGCTCAGCGGCATAAGCGCCTGCCTTGCAAGCAGGCAGTCGTGAGTTCGATCCCCGGTACCGATAAAAAGGAAAAAGACAAAAAAAAAAAAAAAAAAGATCCTGATGTCCTTCCTCATCTGTAATCCCAGCACTTGGGAGACTAAGGCAATCCTTATGCCTCGGTCTCCCCAGTGGCAAAGTTTGAAGCCATTCTGGGCTACATAGAAAGTGCAAGGCCAGCCTGGACCACAAGAAGAGACCTGGTCTAAGAATAAAATTCTGATTTGGGGGGGGTCACAGTTCTTTGAGAAAATTGCTCACAGAGAAGATGAAGCAGATCCTCCCACAGCCAGGGCCCAGGCAAGGCAGCTGGGATCTGAGCAGTCTCTACTAACGGACAGGCATGGAATGAATGGAAATCACCAGTCCTCCTCCTCCACAGCCCGCAGCCCGCTCCCACCACACTCCCTCCGGGCCAATCCACGGGCTTTTGTTCCCATGGCTTCCTCCACCCAGGCCTCCTCCGCTGGCCTTCCCCGCCTCTGGCCACTGGTTCAGCTGTTCTCCAGCCTCCAGCAGTGGCTCTAATCTCCTCTTCCCAGCACCTGGCTCACGTCTGGCACCGCCAGGCGTTTGAGCAAGAAGTGCTGCCTTCCTTCCCGGAACTCAGACTCTCTCAACATTTTATCTTCGCCTCCCTTCGGGCGCAGAGCTCTTCCTATCTTGGATTAGAGTCATGTACCAGGTTGGAAAGAATTATTATCTTGACAGCTGGTGCCAGAATGCCTCTTAGGGGGAACTGCCTTTGTTCAGGGAAATACTTTCATGAGCTGCTCACGGTAGATAGAGGTGAGATCCTGGGGGCTGGCTTAGCAGCGGGCAGAACAACAAAAGCGGGAGCTAAACTGTGCTGAGCAGGCCATGAAAGGGTCTTTGGGGTGGGTGAGGGAGAAGGGCAGCAGGGAGGGCTGCAGAGGGCAGCGGGGGAGCATGGTATCACAGAGAAGCCAGAGGTATTTTAAGATCGGGGTATCTAATGTTGAACTTTTGTTTTGTTTTTACAAGAACTTTATTGAGGAGTGATTCCCATCACCGTCAAATGACCTATTTAAAGTGTACAGCATTTGTTTCGTTTTGTTAGCTGCTGCAGCCTAACCCCCTTCCCATCCCTAAGCTTCAGTGACACAGGCTTCACACGGGGGAAAGGGACGGTGCCCCACAGTGGGTCTGCATCATGGTAAGTACAAGAAGAACAGCAGATCCACCTGTCAGAGTGAGAGTGGAAGTAAGACCATAAACTCCTTCCATGAGAGACTGGATCACGGAGAGGGCACAGGACGTTACCACGGAGCAGGGGACCCACTCTCCCAGGAGCTGGCACCAGCTGAGACAGGTGCACTGCTGGCCCCAAACGTTTTCTGTGAGCTCTTCCAGGGTAGGTACCCTATGGAGTTCAAATCAGTAGATTCCAAATTTCTTAATGTTTTTTAGGGGGGGTGATGGTTTTGTTTTGTGGGGTTTTTTTTGTTTGGTTTGGTTTGGTTTGGTACCAGGGATTGAATTCATGACCTTGTGCTTGCTAGACAGGCACTTGTGCCACTGAGCTTAACCCCTGGCCCAGATTTCTTAATGAATTAGGTTATGATTTTACTACTTTGCACGCTTTGGTGATGACACATCTAACTCTCACCCTCAATGTGTCTCCTGCTTACCTCTGGGTCAGGCCCTCTGAGCCCCTCTGAGTCCACGTCCTGTGTACATTACTTACCCTCCCCTGGGGTCTGCACTTCGATGCTGGGGTTGAAGCTCTGGGACTCCCAGGAGGGCCCTGGTGAAGTGGCCCGGATCTGGAAGACGTAGCGGGTAGCTGGCTTCAGGTTGGTGACAGTGACTGCAGGTGTCCCAGTCTTCACCATGGAGTAAGCATGCTCACTTTGACCCTGGAGAAGACACAGAAGTGAGGCCCAGATCCGGTGCCTGACCCACTCTCTTGGGAGGAGGGTGGGAAAAAAGGAGCTAAGGAGGTGGGAGAAGTAGCCTCAGGCCAACACAGTTGGGCCAGGGGAACCTGATCCTGATCATCCTGGTGATTGCAGAGCTCTCTTCCATGAGATCCCCAGCATCTCTGTCTCCACCACAGTTTTACCCAGTATTCAGGGTTCTTATGGCTGAGAAGAGGCTCACTCTGCTTAAGACAAGCTTTAGAGGAGTCACAACACCTCCTTAGGAATGACAGGATGATGGCTATTGTGGCCGGTGGTCTAGGGGTGAGCTGGGCTGCAAGCCAGGCACTGGCCCTTGACCCCACAGGCTTTTTCTTCCCCTTCTCAACTGATTTTCACAACTGTCCTGCAAGGCACAGGACAAGAGGTGTTATGAAGTTTGTTTTGTTTTTGTTTCCCAGATAAGAAAACTGGGCTCAGCTAGTAAAGAGAGCAATGGCTGTTACTGATAGGGGGTGACCCTCTGCCAGCAGCTGTGCTGGGCCCCATGCTCCTGCAACAGCCAGGAGGAATCAGCCTGTCTCTCTCCTTTTCTGACAAGTTAGGTTCACATCAGGGATAGATCAGGTGACACCTGAATCCCTGCAGGCTGGGTGCTTTGCTCTGCCTCAGCCTGTGACATGTCCTAACAATGCTCCTCCCATCACTGTGTCTCTACCCACACCTTACTGAAGGCATCAGAAAGCACCCTCTGTCTGACACCCTGTGGCCCCAATTCTTTGGTCAAGGCATTCCTAAACAAGTTGGGCCAATCAGAATCCCCCTTTTAGCATCTCAACAATCCCTTGAGAGACAGAGAGGCAAAGGCCGGAACCTGTGATGTTGGGAGAAGAAAGGAGCAAGGGCTGCAAGAAAGCCCCTCAGGAGAAGTCGGGCTGATGGGCAGAGAGAAGCGCAGTTGAGAACTGCAGCTCCAGAGAAGAGTCCCTGACATTTGCCCAGACCCAGGGACACAGCAGCACTTTGCCTAGGGGCCTTTTCATAGTGCTCTTCTTCTTTTATATATGTTGTATGCATGTATGAGTGTATGTCTGAGACAGGGTTATGATAAGTAGTCCAGACCAGCCTCAAACTCATGATCTTCCTGCTCCAGCCTTGCAAGTGCTAGGATTCCAGTGTGTACCTTTATATCTACCACGGGATGTCCTTACCCTTCTTTTGAGGGTTTTGCTGTTAGCAATTCATATTTCTGAGTAAGAGACTATGAGCATCTAGCCAGCTTGTGAGTGAGCTCATCTTCAAATTATCTTCACAGAATCCTTTCTAAGCACTGCTGTGTACCTAGTTGTGTCCCAGACCCTTGAGGTCCTCAGGGCCTTGTCCTGGCCACTCTCCACACACACATTCCCCTACAGTCATCAGCTACCAAGTCTCCTCTCCTCAGCTCAGGCTGTACCTTAAGGTTCAGACTTGTGTCCTGCAGGCTCCTGGAATGCTGCGGAAACAAATCAAGCTTAGCATCTCTCCCCACCCTGCTCCTCTTCCTCTACTGTCCTGTATCGCAGCCGGTGACACCCCACCCTATGGGTCACTGAGGTCACACATCCAGCAGTGATTCAGAACTTCCTCTTCCTTTCCAGTTGCCACCCCCCCACACACACTCATGCATACTCGCAGCTCTCAAGGGACTTCCAATATTCAAAAACTTTTATCTGATTCAGCAAAGCAGCCCAACACGTCACTAAGGAGTGAGCAGAGTTCTGACACATGTAGTGCAGGTGTGGGAAGAGCTTTCACCTTAATGAATTTAATTTGCACCGAGATGAGAAGCAGTTTAACGGTAGATTACATCTCAGACTTTAAGACAATCAATTTAAGGGGGAAATAGAGTAGCCTGGGATGCAACTTCACGTGTAAAATCATGGCTGATCTACAACTACAGATTAAAAATGAATAAAGGGAAGAGGAGAAAACGCCAGGTTTGGTGACCTGCCTGTAGTTCTACCTACTACTCAGGAGGCTGAGACAGGATTCCCTGAGTCTAGCACTGAGATTCTGTCTTTAAAAAAAAAAAAGGTTTGAAAAAATAAGCAAAAGCATCCTAAAACTATGGGATTTGCCTTATGGAGTTTATAATAAGTTATACTTTTTGTAATTATAAATGATGTGCTACCTACACATCTTTAGTGTCTATGAAATGATAATTTATGCATTCATGGTTCTGGAGAGCTGTCTGACAAATATTTACCATCCCAATCTAGTGATGTGCAACCAGTCAGTCACTTTTGTAAAAACTGAAGCAATATATTTCTGTGTTCTTTCCTTTTAAAAAGAGTGCTGCAGATAGTATATATAATACTAAGCCCCACAAAATGTGGACCACTCTCCAAAGCAATTTGCCAACGGGAAGCGCTAAGCCAAAGCGTGAACATGGAGATGCAACTGGCGAAGAAGATGGGTTTCACTGCAAAGGGTGGGGAAGGGGTCCTGGGTGCCTTCTGGAGGGCCAGGAAGAGGAGGCTGCCTGCAGGGCTGGTGGGTAGCTCGCAAAGAAACGAAAAGGGGTTTCTTCTGGGAGGAGGGAGGAAGCAGAGCAAGCTCCCAGGTCAGTGAGGGGCCAGCCTGCTGACCAACTCACCTTCTCATAGTACCGGATCTCATATTCAGTGCCATTGGCTCCAAGGGATCCGGCTGGGATAGGCTCCCGCCATGACAGTGACACGCTCTGGGGCTCTACTCGGTCCCTCCGGATCTCATCCTCCTCCCAGGGTGCTGCAAGTCAAGTAGAGCCGGATTCAGCACCGGCACCCACTGCGGGTGCAGGGCCTGACAGGGCAAGGGACAGGCAAAGCCTAGGAGGGTGGGGCTGCAGGAATGGGGGTGGGGCTAAGGAAATCTGGGCGTGGCTTGTTGGCTGTGGGCGGGGCTAGGGAAGGATTGAGAGACAGTCTGCGCAGGGGCGGGGAGGCAAGATTCACAGCTTTTCAACACTTCTATTGCCTTCTAGGAAGGACCCTCCTGATGCTTGCCTACTCTACACCCCAGGTTCCCTCAAGGTGGTTGGTTCTAATCCTCCAGATTCTTTATACATTGTCTATGTCTTGGAGACACAAGAAAGCAGAGAGGCAAGGAGACCAGCCACTTAATTGTTGGGGCAAAGCACTCAACCACCTAGAAATCAAAGCGACTTATCCAGCACAATAAAGAGCACATAGGAAAGCCCACAGTGAACATCATGCTCAGTGGTGAAGACTGAAAACTCTTTTTAAGATCAGCAAAGGCTAGGGTGCGCTTGCCTCTGTTATTCATCATAACCTTGGAAGTTCTACGCAGCAACTGGCTAAGAAAAGGAAACAAAGGACATAGAATTTGGAAGGAAGAAGCACATTTACCTTGGCTGTCAGATGACATGATCTTATAAGTAGAAAACTCTAAAGAGTCACAAAATACTTCCAGAACTGAGAGATACAACAAAGTTACAGGAAATAAAAAGCAATGAATTGCATTTTATATACTAACAATGAATAATTTTTAAAGGAAATTAAGTTGGGCACAGTGGCACATGCCTATAATCCCTGCTACTAGGGAGGCTAAGGCAGGAGGATTGCAAGTTCAAGTGCAGCCTGGCCAATTTAGCAAGATCCTATCTCAAAATAAAAAGAATGGGGGATGTAGATCAGTGAGGAGTGGCCCTAGGTGAATCTCTATCGTGAAAATTTTTAAAAGCCCCATAAACAAATACATACATAAACTGAAGCTGTGTCTCCATGATAGAGCACTTGTGTGGCATGAATAAGCCCCTGGAGTCAATCCCTAGGATAAGGAAGGGAGGAAAAAAGAAAGAGAGGAAGAGAGAGAGAGAGAGAGAGAGAGAGAGAGAGAGAGAGAGAGAGGAAGAAAAGTTAATTTACTATGGCCTCAAAAAGAATAAAAGCTTAGAAACAAATGTAACCAGAGAAGTAAAAGACTTATAAACCAAAAACCATAAAGCATTGCTGAAAGAAATTAGAGAAAACATGATAAATGGAAAGGCATCCTGTATTTAAGGAGTTGAACACTTCATAAGGGTAGGATGTCCTTCCAAAAAAGTGACCCACAGCTTCAATGTCATTCCTAGCAAAATCCCAGAGGCTTTTTTCACAGAAATGGGAAGAGTAGCCTTACATTCTTATGAAATTTCAAAGGATCATGAACAACACAATCTTGGGAAAGAAAAACAAAGCTGAAAGCTTCACACTTCCTGACTTCAAAGGGTGTTATAAAACTACAGTAATCAAAACAGTATGACACATACATACAAACCAATATAATGGAAGAGGAAGCCCAAATAGAAACCCTTACTATGTGGTCAAATGATCTTTCACAAGGGTACCAAGGCTAGGATACAGGGAAAGGACAGTCTTTTCACCAAGCAGTGCTGGGAAAGCTAGATATTCACATGCAAAAAGAATGAACTTGGACCTCACCTTATGCCACATACAAAAATTGATTCAAGATGGATTAAAGACCTAAATATAAGGCCTGCAACTATAAAACTCCTAGAAGAAAACATGGGGGAAGCTTTATGAGATTAGATTTGGCAATACTTTAACTATAATACCAAAAACACACGCAATAAAAGCAAAGATAGATGAATGATACTACAAACTTCAAAGCTTGGGCACAGCAAAGGTAAAAGTAAAGAGGTGAAAGCGTGACCTACAGAACAGGAAACAATATTTACTAATCATGTGTCTAAAACTTAATATAAAAAGACTCCTATGACTCAATAAGGAAGAAACAAATCAAAAATGTGCAAAGGTCAGTTATAGCAACAATGCCTATAATCCAAGATACTTGGGAGGCTGAGGCAGAAGGATCACTTACAGCTAAGAATTACAGCTACGAATTCAGCCTGGACAACATAGAAAAATACTGTCTCAAAGCTGAAGAAGTCATTTGGGCAGCACTCGGGAGGCTGAGACAGGAGGATCACTGTGAGTCTGAGCCAGTCAGGGCTCCACAGTGAGTTCAGAGCCAGCCTGAACTACATAGTGAGATGTCGCAACACACACACACACACACACACACACACACACACACAGAATCAATCAAGGTGGCACTAAGCTACTGGAGAGGCTGAGAATAAGGAGTTCAGTAAGGGCAACTTAGTGGGGGCCTGTCTCATAATAAAAAATAGATAAGGGCTGGGCGTACAGCTCAGTGAAAAGGCCCTGGGTTCAAGCCCTAGTTGGGGGGGGGGATAAGAGGTGTCTAGGAGGGGGGCTGGAGGTTTAGCTCAGCAGCATAAGCGCCTGCCTTGCAAGCAGGCGATCGTGAGTTCGATCCCCAGTACCGATAAAAAGGAAAAAGACAAAAACAAACAAACAAAAAAAGAGAGGTGTCTAGGAGGGAGGCAGAGATTCAAGAGTCATGAAAAGTGACCAGAGGGAACTGCCCAGGGTAAATGTATGGAACAGCAGAGGAAACATTGAGGAAATAACCCTGAAAAACAGCCAGACAAGGCAAATTGCATGTTTTGGTGCCCATCTGCAATCCTGACATTCAGGCGTCTAAGCCTGGAGAACTGTGAGTTCAAGGCCAGCCTGGACTATACAGTAAGACCCTGCCACAAAGCACACATGCACACACACCACAGGGACAGGGAGAGGAGCAAAGGAAAGCTTGAAAAGGAGCTGGGGAGGGCGTGGTGGGAAGAGGCACATACAATTAAGATGTGCTATATACGTGTACCAACTCCCTATGTGAATGTAATCAGTATGCACTGCAAACATGGATTAATAAAAAGGAAAAAGGAAAGGAGGAGCCAAACAGAGAGGTGGAAAGAAAACGGGCACCAAACAAGGTCATAGAAACCAAGGAACAACAATAGTGAAGAATGCATGAAATGGAAACAACACGGGACAGGCCTGCTGTGAGAGAGATTCTGGGATGTTTAGAAAGGGCTTGAGCATAACCGGGTGAGGGCGGGGGTGGGGGTGGGGTGGGGTGGGGCAAACTCTCAATAGGATGCAAAGTGCCCAATGGGAGGAGCCAGGGGCAGGTTCCTGGACAGCTCAGGGCATCCGGAAAGTAGCTATCAGCCATCCAGGAGGCAAGAATTGCAGTTAGGCTACAGAGGGTGCATTCATGGAAAAACGCTTGACTGTGCCTTCCAGTCCTGAGCGCTCCTGCTAGCAGCTCCCACCTCAAGACTCTCCCGAATTGCAAGGAAAACAATGAAGCTACAGAAAGAGTTGAAAATCCACCATCTCACCATAAATGAATCTTGACAGCGGGCCGTCAGAACGGGGGACAGAAACTTGAGTGGCATATTTTTACCTAGGATAAAGCCAATGGAACTGGAGGGAAAAGCGTAATTGTAATGAACCCCGGGCTCTGCTGCCCACAGAGTGGTACTGCCTTCTATTCTAAAAATAACTTGAAAAAGCTTTTATTCCTCCCTCCAGTGTCTGACCCTAAAAAAAAAAAAGCAAGGTCTTTGTCAACTGGACAATGCACAGCTGTCACTCCAGTGCTCCACTGCCTTTGAAGAAAAGTGCTCTTCTCTGTCCCCAGGGGTGCCTCTTAGCCAGAATTTACTTCGAGATGGCAGCTCCCCCAGGAACTGACACCAGAGGAGAGAGGTAGCTTCGAGAAGGTGGTGTGGTCCTTTGGAGGTGCGGAGGTAGGAAGAGGCAAGGAGTGTCATCTTTGAACCGCCGAGCGCGTTGGATGGCCAGGATGGAGAGGTAGGAGCCTGAGAAGTCCTGAGGATGAATACACACGGGGCCCAGCATCTGCTGTCCAGACTGGCGATGAATGAAGGAACCCAGACAGGGCCCGAAGAGGCTGGGAACACCACAGACACCAAGGGAAACCTGCCAACAGCCACATCTTCCTTCCTGTTGGCTGAGCGCCATGGATGGCTCAGGTGAATTCTGGTTGTTCTCAGACATTTGTGTGCATGCATTTCTTTTACCAACGACTGGTCTAAACTGAGTTTATGATTCAGTTCTGGTCAACAAGAGAAGTTAGCTAAGATTCTTTCTCGGAGGGGATAGGGCAGGGTCTCACTATATAGTCCAGGCTGGCCTTAAACTCACTACGTAGCCCAAACTGGCTTTGAACTCAGGGCGATCCTCCTGCCTCAGTCTTCTGAGTGCTGGAATTATGGGCATGTGCTACCACACTTGGCTAGAAGAGATTTTTTTTTTATTAGGATGTTTGTAGTACAAAATGATTACATTCATTGTGGGGAGTTGGTATATCCACATAACACAATTCAATCCTTTATCTTCACCTTTGGAGAAGGGAGATTCTGAGAAAGCATTCTTCTCCATGTCCTTCTCTTCTCCTTCCCCCCACCTGCTCTGCTCCAGTACTGACGACTTTACTGGATCCAGGGCTTTCCATGTGGTGGGCAGGTGCACTACCATTGAGCTAATCAGTCCAAAAGGTTTTTTGCTCTTAAAAAAAAAGATAATCCAAGGGCTGGGCATGGTGATGTGTGCCTGCAAACCCAGCACTCTGGGCAGAGGGAGAAAGAGCATCATGAGGTCAAGCCTAGCCTAGGTAATTTACATCTTATTGAGATCTTGTCTCAAAATAAATTTTTAAAAATTTAAAGGACAGTAGATATAGCTCGATGTAAAGGTCTTGGGTTCAATTCTCAGTACCAAAAAAAATGATTCAAGGAAGAAGCAATTCTTTGCTGGATGTGATGGTACATGCCTGTAATCCTAGCATTCCGGAGGCTGAGACAGGCAGATTATCATTTGAGGCCAGTTTGGACTATATAGTGAATGCAAGCCCTGCCTGAACTATAGCCAGATTTTGTCTCAAAACAAGAGAAGTTACAATATGCATTAGTGAATTCAGGTCACCTTAATAAGACAGGGGACTATAGACTGGGTGGCTGGAACAATTTAACTTCCAGGTCAACATGCTGGAAGACTTGTCTTCCACAGGGCTCTGTTCTTGACTTGCAGGAAGCCTTTTCCTGTGTCCTCATGTGGCCTTTCCTCTGAGCACACATGGCTAGAGAGTCAGGGAGCTTCCGGTCTGCTCCTTTCTTATAAGGACACCAATCCTTCGTGACTAAGGTCCTTATTATCTAATTTAACATCTTAAGAAACTCTCCCCATTTTGGGATACAGGGCTTCACCAGTTGGAGGGTGGTATGATTCACTCCATAATACCACATGAGGGCTTGGCAATCCTACCCTACAGTAATACCCAGGAAAAGTGAAAATATATATTCACACACAACCTTACACATGACAACTAGGGTTTGCTGCAGTGGTGGAGTCCTTGCCTACTTGCCTCGTACATGCCAGGCCTTGTTGAACCCCTAGCACTGCAAGTGAACAGACATACAAAGTCAAAACACAAAGATAAACACATACACAAATATTTATAGAAACAGTATTCATAATAGGCCAATGTTCATCAAGTAACAAATGCATAAACAAAACTGGCACATTCATGCAATAGAATATCATTCAACCATAAACAGCAATGAAATACTAATATACCCTACAGAGTGGATGAACCCTGGAATTGGCTAAGTGAAAGAAGCCAGATATGAAGGTTCGTAAATGAGATACTAACTACATAAGGAAATATTCATGACAGGCAAACCTATAGAAGCATAAAGGAGATTCACAGTTACTAGATACCGGGAGCAATGGGGAGCAGCTACTAGTAGGTTTCTTTTGGGGGTGATGAAAAGGTTCTAGAATTAGACCTGGTTGCATAACTATATGAATGTCCCCCCACCAAAAAACCCCACCGAACTGTCTTTCTTTTCTTTTTTAAAGACAGGGTCTCACTACATTGTCCAGGCTGACCTTGAACTCATGGCAATTCTCCTGCCTCAGCCTCCTAAATGCTGAGCTTATAAATGTGTGCCAACATGCCCAGTCTTGAGCATGTTTAAAAGGATAAATATAATAATAGATAAATTGCAACTCAAAAAACAATACTAACAATGTGATAATATTATGTTTAAAAATGTGTTGAATGTAACCAAAGCAGATATGGAGGAGATTTCTGAACCCCAAAAGACCAAACTGAAAATCAAAATGGGATTACTCCTGTTGAAATTGTACATGCCAAACGAAAACTTATTTGGCTTTCCAAGAAACCAGAGAAGAGGTAACAGCTCACACCCCCCAAGAGGGGCAGTTTTAACTGACATGGACAGCTAGGCTCCCTTTGATTTAATCTTTATCACAGAAAAGGCAACTTGAAGTGACCTGATGTGCACCACTCAGTTATGGTTCTGTTGTTCTGGCTCCCTGTCCCTGCTTTATAGAGAAAATAACTTTGAAATGGCCAGTTTAATTTTTGCTTCTACTTTTTCAGTTTGTCTCCATTTACAAAACCACTCCTTCTCAGACTGGGGGCATAGTGATTCTGTTTTATGGAAAGAAGTGTTGTCTGACTCTAGAATAAAAAATAAAGTCATTAAAATCTTTAAATTATTGAAATTTTGCCCTCTGACAATTTAAGAAATTAAAATAAAAAATAACCTAGCACTAATCTCACCTAGAAAAAGACTCCAGAAAATCAGGAGAACGGTATTAATAAAGTATAAAATTAAAGAGCAGTGGAATTGATAAACTGAAGAGCTGATTATTTGTCATAACCAATTAAATAAGTTTCTGGCAAGGATAATTAAGGAGGGAAAAAGAAAATTCACAGTTATAAACAAGAGGAAAGAAAGGGAGATACTGAAGACACTCTAGATACTAAGAAAAAAACATTTTTTTTAAACAGGGTCTCACCATGGAATTTAGGCTGGCCTTAAACTCGGACGATCTTCCTGCCTCAGTCTCCTGAGTCCTCGAGTTACAAGGGTGAATCACCATGCCTCGCTAAAATTTTAAGATATACATTTATTGGGCAGAGGGTGTAGAGGGTGATAAAACACTTCCCTAGCACATATGGAGTCCTGGGTTCAACCCCCAGCACTACACATATAGGAAAACATCAAAGATTATAAATGAAGATCTTAAACTATGAACAAATTAATTCAACAAACTAGTAAAAGAAAAATACTCATACCCAATAGGAGACAGCTCGGGGATGCAGAGGGTTCACTTTAATATCTGGGTGGGTAGCTACCTATCATCAGGTCAAAAAAGAAAAACATGTGGTCATCTTGAAAGATGCTTAAGAAGCATTTTATAAAATTCAGATCCATTCTTAAAAAAAAGTCCAGTAAAAAGTATAAGCATTAGGAGGCGTAGGGATTCAAAGCACAGGGCTTCAGTGGCGAACACCCTTCTGTTCAGTTCCCAGTCTCCCTCAGCTCCTCCAACCTCAGTTTCATCATTTGAAAGGTAAATTTAATTCCATTTCAGTGAGTTAATGTAGAAAATCATATTGCACCAAACACAGAGCAACATTCAATCAACAGAAGCTTAGTGTTTTGGTTGTTCTGTTTTTGTTTTTGAGATGGGGGTGGGGGGTCTTACTGTGTTGCCCAAGCTGATCTCAAACTTCTGGGCTCAGGGGATCCTCCTGCTTCAGTATCCCATGTTATGGGCCACACTGCTCTGTTAAAAACTCAGTATTTTTATTAATAAAATGAAAATGGAAGTGTTCTAACCCATATCAAAAACTAGATTGTTAATGTGAAATGCCAAATTAAAAATTAATATTTTATATATTAGAAAAGAGATTTCATAGAAGACAGTTACAGACAAAGATACAGAGAAAAAATTCTGAGAAGAAAATATCTCAAGATAATGACAGTTGTTTATGTCTGAGTAATAGGATTACGGTTAGTTTTTCTATACTGATAATATTTGTTTGTTTGTGACAGGGTCTCTGATGTAAGTCAGGTTGGCCTCCAACTCATAGTGATCCTACTGCCTCCGCCTCCCCAGTACTGGAATCACAGGAATGTGGCACCATGTCCGGCCCTGGATTTAATTTTTTAAAATGAAAATGCAATAGCAGGGGGTTAAATCACAACAGATGATAAAGAACAGAACTGCTGTTGCACAAAACCAGGCAGACTGGGAAATCTCTCAGAAAGCAGAGGAAATAGATTAAGAATTATAAGAACTAAAAATGATAAAGGAAGTGACAAGAATTGAGAATCTGAAAAGGGTACAGCCTAGAGCTTAGCGACAGTCTTAAGAGATAGATGGGAGGAGCTTTCAGAACTTCCAGTGAAAGCAATCACCGAAGAAAATTTTCCAAGGTGGGGTATGTATGCGTGGGGGAAGTGTGCAGACCAAAAGGTTTATTGTGTTTCAGGTAATTCCATGCAAAGAAATCCACATTGGTTCATTGTTAATTTTCATCAGTGGGTTAAAGAATTATTCAAACATCAGTATGTGTGCACATGCATACACCCAAGCTACTTAAAAAATGAAACCCTAGCTTCAGACTTTGCTGGCAATACAACTGCCAGAAGACAGACAAGTGGGGTCACAAAGTAATCACATCTCTTCAGATAGGGGGAAAAAAACCTCAGAAACCACACCACTCACTTATCTTTCTTGCAAAAGACGCCTAAGGGATTACTTGAAAGCGTACCCCAGCTGGGAGGCACATCAAAACTATAAACGTCAAGAATGAGGAGAGGGTAGTATAAAACTGGCAGGCCTTCCTTTCTTCGCCTCAATTCCAGACTGAGAAATGTGTGGGCCGGTGGGAGTCCCTCCCCTGCAGCCTCACCCGCCTACTACCCTGTAGTAGGACGCGGCCAAATGGCACAGGCAGCCACTCCCCACCCTCTTGGGGAGGGAGGGAGACGCTGGACAGGATTCCTAATGTGTTGTCTTTGTCTGTTTGAAAGAAAGGCAAAAAAGACTTTCCTCCCCTTTGCCCCTGGGAAATGGATGCAGAGTGGAGGGTGGCACAGTGGCGGTCCGCGACGTGTCCAGGGAAAGTGGATGCCAACTGGTTCCCGCGCACTCGCTGCAATGCTCACATGCTCACATCCTCTTTGGCCACCTGACGAGTCACCTGCGTGCTTACGCCCTCCCCGGGATTTAGGGTCCGGTGAGGGTCTCGGTGGGGGTGCCGGGGGCCAGGATTCCCGGGATCCCTTCTGCCCGGGAACACGCTGCTTATCCGAGGTGGCTAAGGGGGCGTGGCGGGGTGGGGCGACGCGGGCGCGCGGCGCGGCCTGGCCTTACCCCCCGGCCCGGTGGAGACGGTGACCTGCGCGTACGTAGCTCCCGCGGCGGCCGCCGGGCCCGAGACGCCGTTGAGCGCGGCCACGCGCACGGTGTAGCGCGCTCCCGGCCGCAGGTGCAGCAGCGTGGCGGCGCGTTCCCGCAGCCCAGCCTGGCGCGGCACGAAGGCCACACGCGGCCCGCACGGCTCGCACGCGCCCGCCGGGCCCTCGCGGCCGCAGCGCAGGCAGAGCAGCGAGTAGGTGACGTCGGAGCGGCCGCCGGAGTCGGCAGGGGGCAGCCAGCGCAGCCGCAGCGCCAGCGGGGAGCGGCTCAGGCTGTACTGCAGATCCCGGGGCGCGGACGGCGGCCCTGGGCGCAGGGGAGGGGGCGCTCAGAGGGCGGGGCGGCTGGGTGGAGCCCCTCGGGGCTCCCAGGAGGTGGGGGCTGAGGCGGGGACAGGCCCCTCGGTCTGCACTCGGCTGCGGTTCGGGTCCTCGTTCTTCCATCCCGGGGGCTCCCCTGCTTCCCAGCCCGGGGCTGCCCTCCCTGCCCCGCCCCCCGGCATTCCGGGTCATTGCCCCCCCATACCCATCCTCAGTCCTCCCCTCGGACCTCCCCACCCCGCCCCCACAAAACAGCCTGGAGGGGCACTCACTAGTGCAGGAGGCCGAGGGCGGGTCCGTGGGCGAGCGCGCGTAGCTGTCCTGGCACACGCAGAACGTGGAGGCGTTTTCCAGGGCCCGGCTGTGCTCCGGACACGGCGAGCAGAGGGGTCGCCGCGGGGACACCTTGTAAAACCCTGGGGGACAGGCTGCGGACAGGGACCAGTGAGGAAGGGGCTCCTCCACAGCTTGTCTCCCTCTTTTCTGCCTGTGCCCATCTGGGTGAATATTAGCTCCTGGTACTGTGATAGGGAACGTCAAGGACACAGCTCCTGCAACTCAGCCCCTTGGTCCTCAACAATAACCATCCATTTGGTCCTCACAACAAGCTGTGAGGCTTGACTTCACCTTGTTTTTATCTGTTTGATTGTTGAAACAGGGTCTTGCTGTGTAGTTCGGGCTGTCCTTGAACTGTATGTGTATTAGCTCAGGCTGGCCTCAAATTCATGGTAGTTTTCCTGCCTCAGCTTTTCTGAATGCTGGAATTGCAGTCGTTCAACAGCATGCATCCAGCTTTTCAAATGAAGAGACTGCCTACTTCGGCAGCACATATACTAAAAAATGAAGAGAATCGTGCTCTTGAACTTAAGCTGCCCAAGGTCCGACAGCTACTGGGATCCCAACCCAGCCCACCCTTTCAGAGGCCACATCACACTGCTTGGAGGAAAACGAGCTGAACCGGGTGGTCCTGGGATGGAGAAAAGAATGGAAGGCAGGAGCTGCACGGCTGGCCTGCACTTGCCCAGGGACAGACAGACTCCTGCACTCCCACTCCCACACACGCATTGCCAAGCTTTCCATCACCGGCCTGCAGTTAGTGCGCCATGAATCCCCGACTCACACCTGGTCGCCAATCATTAGGAGGCGGAACCAGGCATGTCAGAAGCAGGTGGAGAGACTAGAGGGACTCTTGACAGTTTCCTGGACCAGGGATCCAACCCTAATCTGACACCTGCTTGGCTGCCTCTCTCCCTTCCCGACCTCACCCAGAGCACAGCTGCTAACAGTACAGGTGTTTTAATAGCTCAATGAGCAAGGTTGCACCCTTCATTTGCTGTGTGGCTTTGGGCACGTCGGTTGTCCTATCTGAGCCTTGCCAGGTTGGTGGGAAGGCACTGAGACGGAACACAACTGAACAAAAACATGAGCCCTTCACAGACTACTCTTACATGATAATGATGGTAATTACTGTTCTTCTCTCACAGGCCTGACATGGAAATGAAGAAACACCCACTTTAAATAATTTCCCTCCAGCTGGGCCAGAGAGGGAAGAGGGAAGCAGTGGCTCCTGGCCCCTCCTTTATGAGCTCCAGTGGGCCTCAACTTGCACCCGGGGCCTCCTCTCTAGTTTAGCTGGTGATCAAAGGTAGCTGCTGTCTAGCTCCAAGAAGACCTAGTACAGCAGCAGGGATTCACAGGGCCTCAGGAAGAACTGTTTCTGAGGATGCCTGTTGTCTTCAAGACTGGCACTTGAAGAACTAGCTTACCTGCAGTCCCAAGCAGCATGCTTGGAGGAGGGTCTCTGCAGTCCAGAGCCTTTGGAAGTGATTGTCTTGATGATGAATCATGGGCCTACCTACCACTGAGGCTGGGACTCAGAAGGTCTGGGCTATACAGTGTTAGCCAGGCCACTCCTTGCACCTCTCTGGACTTAGTAAAATGGAACACTAAGGCCTGCCTGCCTGGGCTAGGAAGAGGGCAAGGGCCAGGGCAGGCCTGGAGGAATTACCCTGTGTGCCAGGTCTCAGGGCTTTGGAGGAATGCTGGAGGCACTCAGCCCTGTGTGTGTAAGAAAGACTGCTATCTGAACTGTTCTCTGTGTGGTCCCATGAGGGGCAGCATGGTTATCTGTGCCCCAGAAGCTCTGTTTAGAGGAGTCATGTGTTGCAGTACACACTCAGAAAGGGATTCCTGGAAGCCAGCACCTGCCTCTCCTGCTCAAGGTCAGAGTCAGAATTTCAGAGGTCACGTAGTTCAATACTGGTCTGAGCCTCTGGAAGTTTTCTGAGCAGCAGCTATCGCCTTTGCTCATATATTGCAGAATGAGGAACTCATTCTCTTCAGAGGCTACTTTCATAGATCATGGAAGTTTAAAAGTGCTTCTTAGAGCCCAGATTAACCACCTTGTCTCTAAGTCCCTTCATACCAACCCGTGGCGGGAACTCAATGTACCCCATGGAACCTCAGAGAATATATACTGCGTGAGGCCCTGATTCCTGGGCAGTCCCACAGAGATCTGAAGATACAGTGCCTGAATTTTCTCCCAAAGGGGAACCCAATTCTTTCACTAATTTCTCTAATGGCAAGGAAGAGAACAAGAGTAAGGTCAGTAAAGAGAGAAACAAAAAAGAGAAAAGAACTTCTTAGCACTCTGTCCGCCACATCCACCTACCTCTTGAAAGGAGTCTGTACTTGGCTGCAGAAGACACACAGAACTCCAGGGCTTGCTAAGTGTACATCTCTTCCTAAAACTCCCCAAAAGCTTCCACTGATTGTCACCCTACCCATGTCACAATGAGTGCTTCTTGTCACTTCCAGGTCTTGCCCTGTAACATACCTCTTTTCTCCCTGTAATGTAGTTCAGTACTTCTCCAAACCCCAGTTCAAATAGCACCTCCTTTGTGAACCTTTTCCTGGCATTGTCCCCAGTTCTTCAGTCCCCAGGGCGGAGATGAAGCCTTTGTCTGGTCTCAGCCCAAGGGAAGGGAGCTCAAAACTGAATAGAAGTGGACTTGTTTTCAGTGTGTGTGTATGCATGATTGCTTGCATGCATGTATTGTCCTACAGTATGGATCCAAACCTCCCCCAGCCCCTGACTTATTCATAATTTTATCATCTATAATGAGCCATGCACTGTTCTGGCTATAAATACACACAGAAGTGAACAAAAGAAGAATCTGTCCATTGAACAGATACTCTCTTTTCCACCTCAAGGAAGAGGAGAAATCATCAGTTGGTAATTCCCTCAACATCTGACCCTCAAAACTCATAAGTACCACCCACACTTGTCTCCCTTCTCATTTTCCATCCCAGAGCATGAGATGAGTCTCCTCCCGTTGAAGGCTAGCCTCTCTATCTCTACTCTAGACCTATCTCTTCCACCTCCTCAAAATCTACAGTGCAATAGCCCTGGACTCTATTCCCAGTACCACCAAAGGAAAGACTACATCCCATCAGTCATGTCTCCCAATGGCTCTCACATTGGTTCCTCACTGTGGGCTCTTTCCAGTGGTCCATTTCTGATGTGGGCAATAAAGATATGGACTTGAGAACAATCACAGATATGAGTAGCTGGGCATGGTGGCATACACCTGTAATCCCAGCATTCTGAAGGGCTGAGGCCAAAGGATGACAAGTTCAAGGCCAACCTGGGCAGCTTAGAGACTTAGCAAGACTCTATCTCAAAAATAACTTTTAAAAGCCCTGGGATATAGCTCAGTGCAAAGCACAGGTGTTCACTTACCAGTACTGTATTCAGTCAATTAAATGCTAAAAGTTGGCCTACCCTTTTGTTAGCAACATGTATCAGTAATTCTAACCAACATGGATTACTAATGGAAGACTCCTTCCCCCTGGAACTGACCATTCCAATTTCCCATTCACTTGGTACCCTGCCAGCTCTTTCCCAAACAAATCTCTTCTACAGTAAAAGTCCTTTGTGTTCAAATGAAGGTATACATACACACCCTCTCTCAACCCAGTGACCTCCTGAAGATGCCACCTCCTCTCACATGAAGTCCAAGTTCTAGATTCCATCCAGCTTATCAGTGTCCTTCATTCTCAGCTTACTGTAAAGTGATCTCTACTCAGCTGAAACTGCTCTCACCAAGTGGACCCTGACCAATCCCCAGTTTAGCTGACTGTTCAGCCACATTGCAGGTTGCTGTCCTCCGGATGCTGCCATCTCCCTGGGATTCCATATATCCTCTCCTGGCTGTCCTCCAGCGTCTCCCTACTCCTCAGTCTTTTTAGTGGGCTCTAGTTTTTGCCACTTGTCCTTAAACATTGCTCCTCTGTGTGTCTGTGTTGTTGGCCTTCTTGCTTCTTCCTCCAGAATCCCCCTGGTTTATCTAGCCACGCTCACAGCTTCAAGTAGTATCTGTATTCTGAGCTCCGGCCCACTTTCTAGCTACCTCACCTCAATTACCTGTCAATCCACATCCTGTGTTCCGTACCCAGTGGATGGACCTTGTGTCCATTCTTTCCCCAACAGCATAGGAATCAAATGGGTGCCTGTCTCCTATGTCACATGGTCACTAAGTGCTTTGGCTGCTATATCCTGATCACACCCATCCTCAGCTCTCAAGGATCTCTGCTGCCACCTGAGTCCAAAAGTCCATGCTTTTTCTCCTGGACAATTGCATTATCTCTCTTCCCCATCTTCTGGCCTCAGATCCTTCTTCTCCAATCCCTTCTTTGGCAACTCTAGTGCCATATAACATATAAAATATGGCACTAGATATATTTTCAGATTTATATTTGAAAATATAAATCTGAACTTCTTAGATTACTCATTGATCTAAAGTGTAAAGCTTAAGTTCTTTTTCCCAACATTCATGGTCTCTCCATAATTTGCCCCAGCCTCTCTCCAGCTCATCAGTTCACACACACACACACACACACACACACACACACACACACACGCACACACACCATGCCTGCTGCTCTGACTGCACTGGCTTACTTAGCACCAATCATGCCACCTGTCTGCTGCCATGCCTTTGTACACAATCCCTAAGCTCAAGATGCTCTCAGTTGCCTGGAATAACAGCCTTCTCACTTTCTCTGGGAAAGTCTTCATCTTTAGAATTGGGTTCTCCTTCTCCATGCATCCTCTGTTGGCATGTATCACAACCTAAGTTAACCCAGTACCTTCCCACTTAGCACCTGCTCCATATCATATCCTGCTGTGGGTGCTGAGGCTGCTGAGACTAATAATACCTAGGGCACGGGCTCAAAAAGTTTCTAGTCCAGAAGCAGAAATTCACATAAGCATATCACTGTATACAATGGAGGTAAGTATAGAAACAGAGGCTGCAGTGAGAGCTGGAAAGCACAGAACAAGATCCTGGAGATTTCAGGAAGACTCTTGCCTCTGAGTTGATTCCTAAAGCACAGTTTCCCCCAGGGAGAGATGGTGGCATTCATCTATACACCTGAACAAATGCATTGCTATTGAATGGATGATTGAACAAAGGAATGATGGCAAGTTTAGTCTCCTTCTGTCTTCGCACCACTTTGCATCCCTCTGTTATATCATATGTCACCCCCGTGTGATTTTTTTTAATCCTTGCCTTTCTCCATCTATATGTGAGTGTCTCAAGAGCTAAGACTATGTCTGATTCATTTCTGTTGTCTTGGCACACACAGAAAAGGACCTGGTTTAGAAAATGTATCTCTTGATCTTCCTACATTAGAGGTATACATTCATAACCCTGTCTTTATTCCCTGCTTCCAAAGCTGCAGACGGGGGAGAGACAGGTCTGTTCCTAATATCCCTATCGATGAAAGAGCCCATCAGAAACCCATTATGGAGGTCCCCCAACCCCCAGGACACAATGATTCTAGTTCAGATCCTAGCAGTCATCTGGTGCAATCTCCCACTTTCCCTTGAGCTCAACAATGCCTGCAGCCAGCCTCTGACTTGTATACAGTCAGTGACTGCATGTGCTGGGGAGCTCACTCCCTATAATGCTAGCCCAAACGTGGGGGTGCTACAGAGTTCCTTCCTATGTGTAGCAAAGGTGACATAGTGTGGTAGAATCTGAGAGCTGAGCAAACCTGCATTCAAATCCTGGCTCCCTATCTTCTACCTTGGCAAGTGAGGTATTGATCTCTTTGAGGCTGTTTCCTATCTGTGAAATGATGATGACTTGTTTGCCGGTTCCTTCTCTGTGAATAAAGGAAAAGGCCTATGCGAGCTGCCTATTACCAAGCCTAAAATATAGGTCCCTTGAGCCTTCGTATATGGAGTCAGTTCTCCTGTTAGTAACTTTACTAACTGGGTCTGCTAGAAGTTCCACAAAAGATCATGACCCCCAGCTCCAGAGCCTCCAGAGCTTTTTCATTCCTGTCTTGCATCCTCCAGCGGCCACCTGTGCTCTACGTCCCCGCTCCGCACCTCCCAGTCCACCATGTACCTTCGCAGATGTCACCACGCTCCTGGAATCCCGCACTGCAGCTGCAGCGGCCCACAGGCACCAGCCACTCGCCATCCGCACCACAGTGCATGCGTGGAGGGCTGCCGGGGTCCCCTTCTGAGTGTGCTACGCACGTCCCGGCCACTTCCACCAGGGTGGAGAAGGCGCTCTCGGCCGCGGTGGCTGGGAACACCGCCAAGCCCCGCACGGTCGCGCGACACTGCTTGTAGTAGACACGCACAGAGACCAGCGCCACGCATGCGCCCACGTCCTGGAAGGCCAGGTGGAAACCCCGCCGGCTAAGCGGGCCGATCTCACGCACCTCTGTGTTCAGCTTCATCTTGCGCTCACCCAGGTCTCCCTGCGTGAAGCTCTCATCCGCTGCTATCGTGTCAATCTTGCGGGGTCGGTTACCTCCAAGACGGAGACGCCCCCGACCCAGGTCTGCCTCGGTTTCCAGGTAGTAGACGTTAAAGGTCTCCTTGCAGGTGCCTGCGGCGCCAGGGATACTGCTACAGTCGCGAAGTGTGAACTGCAGCTCCACAAAGATGCGCTGCCCACGCCCGCGGCTGATCCAGCCCGTCTGCAACCAATTGTCCTGGTTGGGCTCCAGCACGTTGCACACTTGGTATGTGCGGATGGGACGGTCATGCTCATCCACGCCACTGATCTCCTCCCACTGGGATGAAGAACGGAAAAGGTGACAGCGCAGAGCCCAGGTGCTCCCGAGAGGTCAAGCACCGGTTCCTTCTCTGTCTTTCTATTCTCTCCTGCCTCCCCCTCACTACCCCAAACACCCAAAATGTAGATCTAGAAGAAACTTTGGAAATGAACGATTCTTTTTTTCTTTTTATTGTAGGATGATTCACGAATTTGCATGTCATCCCTGATCAGGGACCATGCTCAACCTCTATGTGATTCTAATTTTAGTACGTGTGCTGGTGAAGCAAGCACTAATCTTTCTTTTTATGAATGGGAAACTGAGGTTGCAGAGGGAGAGTGAATTGGCCAGGTATGCACACTGAGTTAACAGCACAGCTAGAAATCATTCCTGGGGTCTCTCAACTCTCTACCCAGTGCCTTTGCATCACAAGCTGCTGTTATAATTCATACCACTACAGCCTGACCCACCTTCCAAGGCTCCTTCAGAACTCCCGTGCCTTGCTTGATCTGTTAATCACTGGACAATACTGTTTGGAGTATCTACTGTGCAGGGCACTGTCCAACAGTAGTTCGGTCTACATGTCACATATCTGTTCCTGGACACCACCAGTTATCTGTCTGTCTGTTTGTCTGTCTGTCTGTGTTCTAACTAGTCAACTTTTTCTAGCAAGCCTCTTTGGCGTGACACCAGGGCTGCTGTGTACCTCTTGAGTAGCATTGTGACCTAACTGTAAGGAGCTAAAAGGGCTGAGTCTTAGATTACCAGAAAATCTCTATGACAGAGAGAGACCATGTTACACCTACCCCATTACTTGGCAGTGCAATCCAGCCTAGCTCAGCCTGAGAGGCTTTGGAATCCAGAAGAATGACTAGGGAGAGGGGAGAACAGAGATGTTAGAAAGCAAAAAGTCAGGTTAGTGGGGTAAGATGTTTTGCTGAATTCTCTGTAAATTTGCTAATCAAGGGGATAGAGAATGTGACAACATGTTTCCCACTGCCCAGATCCCTATAAGGAGAATGTGAATAGCTCAATCCATAGAGATGAAGCCACAATGATTAGGTAAACAGCCTATATAATTTTCCAGGGCTGCTATAACAAATCACCACAAACCTAGTATCTTAAAATAACATGCCTTTTTCTCTTACAGTTCTGAGGGTTGGATGCTTGGCATCAGTTTCACTGAAGTGTCAGGGTCAGCTCCCTTCCTTGGGAGGCTATGAGGGGAGACTCTGGTTTTTTTGCTTTCTTCAGCTGCTAATGGCCACCTGTATTCCTTGGTTTTTGGCCCCTCCTCCACCTTCAAAGTGCATCACTTCAATCAATGCTTCTGTCATTTCACTCCTTCCCCTTGGACTCTAACTCCTCCTGCATCCCTCATATAAGGGCTATTGCACTGTGATGATGTTGGACCCTTCCAAATAATCCAGGATAATCTCTTCACCTCAGAATTAATCACATCTTCAAAGTCCCCCTTTGCCACTTACAGTAGCACTCACAGGTTTTGGGGATTAGGACATGGACATTTTTGGGGGAGGGGTATCATTATTCAGCCTTCCACAGAATCCATACCAAATGCTCTAAGGCCACCTCTCAAACAGCACGTAGGAAGATAGTGACCCTTCTCATTCTTCCCAGGTTCCCTAAATTATACCTAAGTGTCCATCAGTGAGAGGAAATGAGTATATCAGAGGATTCCTGAGTACACCCCCCACCAAATCCACTCAGATTCAGAGAATTTTCTGAAGGCTGGTCACCAGGTATGGAGGAGATTTAAACCTTCCTTGTTTGACTCCCGGAGCCTCTGGGTGAAACCAAGTGGTGACATCCTACTAGCAACGGGGAAAATAAAAATCTCTCATCTTCTCAACCAACCTCTTTCCCAGGGATTGTCATCTGTACTGCCTTTGAAAGTATATCAGAGGTCCTTTTATGTATAATCCATAAACCCCTTCCACACCAGAGAAGCTTGGAGTCACTTTATTCCCCAGGGAGGTGTCAGATCAACAGCCTGCATTTTCCCAGCATTGGTCACAGAGAAGCATTGGACAGCAGAATCAGCAACCTGGAGACAGGAAGCCAGACTATCCCAAAATCTTGGAGGATTACTCATCTGGAGCTTAAAGAAGAGGGTGGGCTGCCACGGTAAGGGCCTCTACGAGGGGCTAGCTCCACAGGCATCTGTGATGGTGGGCAGGACCGCTGACAGCGTGCTGATTTAACACAAGTAATAGCACATGGGAATCACATATTGCAAGGCATCTGCGATCCAGCATTGGGACTGATCCTGTGGTCAATGCCTGATTCTAGCACCTCAGGATTCTGCACCTGGCCATGACGCCTCTGGATTCAGCTGAGCCTATAGCTCCCCCAAATGCAGAATCAGAGACAAGACGCGGGCTCTGATACTGCCGACAAACCCCAGCCCGGCTACGCGGTCCGCGCCAGACCATGATCCGAATTCAGCACTGCGGACAGCTCCCCGCCCAGCCTTCGCGGCTGCCCGCAACCCAATCCGGCGTTCCAACTACTATGGCAGCACAGTGGTCCCCCAAACCCCGCTCGGGCTCCATCCTGTCTCCTCATACTCCGACCTCACCTCCGCATCTCGTCTCTGCTCTCAGCCTCTCCCCGCCCCCTCCCCCAGTTCCCACCTTTCATCGCTCAGCCTGTCCGTCTCACCGGCCCCTGGCTCCCGCGGTTCCTAGGTCCTTCTTTCCGACCCTGCTAGGTCTGCAGCCCCGAGATCCTCACCACCCCTCAAGGCTCCCAATGCTTAGCCACCTCCCTCGCGCTCTCTCTAGTTCTTTGCCGCTCGCTCCCCGCTTGCTTCACACCCCAAACAGACTCTAGTCTCCCCAAAGACTCCCACCACCCCGTCACTGGCCCCAATCTGCTAACAGCACCAGCTCCCAGCCCAGCCACCGGGCTCCTTACCTTCCTCGGCGGTCCCGGGTCGCCCGCGTCCCAAAAGCAGCGCGAGACAGAGCGGCAGCAGGCAGGCGAGCAGGCGCAGCCAGCGCGGGCCGGCGCCGACCTCCATGGTCCGCAGACCGAGCTGTCAGTGCGGCGGCGGCTCCAGCCGCGCCAGCCCAGCACCGCCGAGCTGCGCCCCCAGATCCTAGCGCGGGCTGGGGCGGGGCCTTGCTGGTCACCATCATCCATGGCGACCAATCACTAGGCACCGCCGCGGGAGGTCCACCAATCCGGGCTAGCAGAGGGTGGGGAGGTGGAGTTTCATAGGCCAGGGGTGGAACACTCAACTGGAGGGGGAAAGAAGGGGTCCCCAAGACCTCCTAGCCATGGGGGTGGGGCAACCCTGAGCCGGAGAGGGGCTGCTGGGGAGCGCGATGAGCCGGCGTCGGTGGTACAGAGCGCTAACCCCTAGTCCCGCATTCCTCAGAAGTAGGCGATGTGGGCGTGGCTTGAGAAGGGCCGGCCCGCTGGGAAGCAGCGACTTGCAGCCTCTCAGCCAGCCTGGGAGTCTTCTTGTTCCCAGGACTTGCGGGGATTTCCAAGCCCGATGCCCTGACCCTAAGCTCGGGGATCGAGTCACCTTCCAGCCCTCTGTCTCTTGCTGTGTTGCGGCACCTGGTGTTTCATGGTTTGATCTCTCTTCCCCTCCTCCCCCGCCCCATCTCTCTCTCTCTCTCTCTCTCTCTCTCTCTCTCTCTTTCTGGAGGGAGGGGCCAAACCAGACTGCAGGAACTGCTCAAAAAAAGAGCCAAGTGGGAGACAGGATCTCACCCTCAGCAGAGCTTCAGAGGCTGGGGAAACATGTGGACGCCGAGATAGGGGTGTTGGAGATTTGCAGAACCTTCGGTTCTTTGGGTTCTTGCTACTACTGGCAAGACACCTGAGCATACCCCACAATCATCTCTGTCTTCGGTGTGTGCAAGCTGGAGTCTCCTCTGAGTAGCCCACTCTTCCCACCCCAGGAGACTGGCAAGAAGCGCAGCGGCCGGGAATCGGAGGCATCTGCAACAGAGGCGGAGCCGTCCTCCCAGACAGAGTTCAGCCAGCTCTGGAGAAGCCACAAGAAAACGTGGGACACGACCTCTATTTAGTGAAGGTCATTTATGTGCAATCCAAGGGTTTAACCGTTTGGTGGTAGGAAGGGCTGGGGCTCTTTAGGATGAAGGAGGTGGCAGCTATTGAGCTTCACCATTCGAGCTGAACTTGAGGGGAGAAAGCTCCACCCACTTTGTGGCTTTTCAGAGCTCTCCTCTTGGGGGACCCACCCCCTCTCCCTTTGGACGCTATAATTGCGGAAGAGGCTTTGAGATGACTGGGAGACCTGCATCCACTTGGCCTGTGAGGTCCGAGTGTCCGTGTCATTTTGCATAGAGGTACTCCTCACCCCTCCAAACAACACTTCCTGGGTGCCATGCTCTGTGCTGAGGATACCTGGGGATGGGGACGTGTGTGAATGCAGAATGAGCACAGGCACACATATTCTTTTTTTTTTTTTTTGTCTTTTTCGTTTTTATCGGTACCAGGGATCGAACCCACGACTGCCTGCTTGCAAGGCAGGCGTTTATGCCGCTGAGCTAAATCCCCAGCCCCCATATTCTTTAACTTATCGGACAGTATGTAGTGATAGGAGGAATAGATGTTGCACTCTGACCTTCCTTTGCTCCTAGAAAGGTCATATGGGGGCGGGGCTCGAACGCCACCAGAGGCCGGAGAGGCAGAAGGCTGCTGAGGCAAAAAAGGGGGTGTGGCACCTGCCGGATTCCTGGATGCACGCGGGGTCTCTGAAATAAGATCTACCTGAAGAAGGGCTCCTGCGTCCCCCACCTCCTTCCCATCTCCATTCTTCTCACGCTCGATTTCCCCTCCCCCTGCCCCCTGCGCTGGAGATGGTATTTTTAGAAGCTGCTTAGAGACCCAGGACTCCTTTCATTTCAGAATGAGTTCTCTCTGCACCATCTCTCTTCCATGTCTTCAAAACCGGGTCCCATCTCCTTAGCAGTCTCCAAGGCGCCAGTCGTGGGAGCTCCAGGGACTCCAGCTCGAAGGTTTTGACCCTACGTGCAAAACCAAGAGGCAGACTCCCTCTGAGCCTTTCAAGTATCTTTTAGAAGACAAACAGACAGGGAAAATGAACTGGAGAGAAATATATAGGATGCTCCCAACAAACCTTGGTTGTGGGGAGTCTGGTTGCAGCCATGTGGAGAAAATGCCAGACTGAAACCCTAGGAATAGGGAAAAGCAAGAGAAATAAATGAATAAAACAATTCTGTTTCCTTTGAACAATCTATTTATATTAAAACTAGAGTGGAGAGACTCTAGTGTATGCAGATATATGCAAATCAGACACACTTTAATAAGAGTTGCTCCAACATGGACCCTACTCTGCTAGAAGGCTGCAGAATAGACAACTCAGTAGAGAAATTCTGGAGGCTCTTAGAAGGAAATGAAGCCATCATTTATCACAACCTTTAGGTGCTGGAGGCCAGTCAACCAATAATAGATCCCTTCCTGGAATTACTATAGACAGGAATGGGTTTGGGGTGATAGCATGGCTGTGAGGCTGATTCCTTTCCCACCCCGCCCCAACCCAGGCCCATTTTGTCTGATTTCCATCCGTGGTGATGAATTATCAGAGTCTGCCCCTGGGATTTCTCTGCTGTTGCATTCTGACCTTCAGCCCAGGCTTTGCTGCCTACTTCTGAAGCCTAGAACCGAAGTCCTGGGACTGGCATCTCCAAGAGCCAAGCGTTCTTCATGTGCTGGAGTAAGTGTGGAAGGGACCCAAACAGAGCTTGATTTTTTCTTCTGCTCCTCCCAGACCTGCATGGAGCAATATGGAAGGAGTTCTTTTTACTTCTGCCTCATCATCTTTTTTTTTTTTTTTTTTTTGTGGTCTTTTCCCTTTTTTACCGGTACCGGGGATCGAACTCACGACTGCCTGCTTGCAAGGCAGGCGCTTATGCCGCTGAGCTAAATCCCCAGCCCCCATGCCTCATCATCTTCTTAGATCATAGAAGACTAGCGGTTGGGACTGAGCAGCCTAATTCAACACCCGAGTGGACTTTCAGGGGACATACTCAACATTATCACAACCTCCACCTCAAAGTTACTGAAAGTTTACAAATATAGGTGTTGAAAAATTGTCTTTATTTTTCATAAGTGTCGAAATTGTGTTCAGCCTCATGAGGCAGAGGTCACATCTTCCATGAGAAAGACTAAGATTGTACCAGACAAATCAGGGTAAAGTCCTGCTCCCAGCAAAGTGGACAGGGCAAGGCCAGAGCAGAAAGGAGCTACATTACTGAAAGATACATCTTCAGTTTGTTTCCAGTCAGTCAGGGTGGCTTACGCTTACAATCCCAGCACTCATAAGACTGATGAAAGAGGATGGAGAGTTTGAGGTTAGCTCAGGTTACGTAGGGAGCATCAGACGATTATAACTACAAAACACATCCTCCCCCACCCCCCCCAAAAAAAGAGATGGATGTGGTGGTGCTCACCTGAAATCCTAGCATTCTGGAAGACAGAGACAGGAGAATCACACATTCGATTGCCTAGCTTGGGCTACTTAGTTAATTAGACATGGTCTCACTATGAGTTCTGGCTGACCTTGAATTCACTATGTAGCCTAGGCCAGCCTCAAACTCTTGGTGTCTAATGCCTCAGCCTCCTGAGGACTGGGATTACAGTCCTCAGTATAGTATGGTGTGTGTTCTGGTTAATACAATGTGAGGAGGGCACAGAGATTTTGTGAGTGCTACATATGCTCTGGGATCTGGGGGTGGTCTGTATACAATAGAAGGGAGGAAAAGAGGCTTCCTCTTCCTGCTTCCATTTTGCTCTGGCTGCTTTTGCTGGCTGCTACCTTGAAGTGTTGCCCCAGTGCCCTGCCACCCTGCCTTGGAGGCAGCTGATTATGGACTGAAACCTCCACAAACAGTGAGCTAAATAAATGTTTTCTTCTTTTGTCTAGGGTGTCAAGAATTTTGTCCTAGCAATGAGAAAAAAAGTAACCAAGACAATGTGCCACCATATTTAGCTCTAAAAAATAATTTTTAAAGGGCTGGGAACATAGGTAAGTGCAAAGGCTGTGGATTCAATTCCTAGTACCCAAGAATATAGCTTTTCTCATCCATTTCATGTCTCCTTCTCCAGCCTAAGGAAAGAATAAGCATACTCAAGGTGGATTTTCCTTCTGGCCCAGACAAATCACAACCAAAAGTAAGATGGCCGTTGTAAACGTATTTTTAAATTGAATTTTCTATGGAAAAGGGAACATAGGGTGTTTAATTTACTAATTGAAAAAAGTTTTGATCTTTTTGAGACAGGGTCTCACTATACAGTTCAGGCTGACCTTGGGCTCACTTTGTAGCCCAGGCTGGTCTTGAACTTGCCAACAGTTCTCTGTCTCAGCCTTCCAAGTGCTGGGATTACTGGAGTTCACCACCACGCCCAGCTACTAATTGAAAATTAAACAGAGAAAATCTTTAAAATTCAAATTATAACTACCTATGCTTCACAAGCCTCCATTTCTTCTTGGTAAAATAAAATAAAAACCTTTTAGAGGTATTGTGAGGTCAAAAAACAATTCTTTGTGTGGTACTGTGGACTGAAGGGCTGGTACCTCCAGCCGTTTTATCTGTTGTTCCTGTTGTTGCTATTATTTTGAAACAGGGTCTTGCTAAGTCAATAGGTTGCCTAGATTGGGCCTGAATTTGTGATCCTCCTGTCTCAGCCTCCCAGGGTACTGGAATTACAGGCATGTGTTACCATGCTTGTGGAAAAAATAATTTTAGTTTATAACCCAACATAGTACTTGGCATTGGGCTCTGGTATATACTATTATTCAGCTCTATATTTAATTAAAATGAGAAATGAAAGAAGAAAAAGGGAAAGGAAAAATAAAGGAAGATTAAGGGGTGTAGGAGGAAAAGACAGATAGAGATAGAGACAAAGTCATAGAGGAAAGACAGTGAGAGATGGAGGAAGACAGCTGGTGAGATGAATGTGTCTAGGAAGCACAGGATTGGGAAGAACTCTGCTTGAAGAGGCAGAGGTGTCATCAGGGCGGGCGGGCTGGCCAGCTGCCACGTGGTATCAGGGATGACATTTATCTTGATAAATTCATCATAGTCCGGGCTTATATATTTTACGCTAAGAGCATTAAGGGAGAAGCCGTTTACTGGGTGTTAGGAAGTACATCACACCAGCTCAGCTCGTATCCTGCTCTCTGAGCTAAAGAACCAACATAGTAACTTACGATGAGAGATGGAACTGCCAAGAGGACCAGCATGCTCACATCGCCTCGTCCATCACATCCTTTCCCTCTAGGAAAATGTGCACAGGGGGCCAATTTGTGATATGAAGGCAGCTTTGCAAGTGTGAGAGAAGGGGTGGGATGGTGTCAATATTTTACGGCCTCAGGCTCAGATAGCCTTGCGCCCCCAAATCTCCAGTAGAAACGAAGTTCCCGCTGGTACCTGAGTGTGTGTGAAAGGGATCAGGTCTGGCACTGGTTTATACCAACATATGCTTCTCTGGCTCTACTTTTTTGGAATCACGTCTCTATTTCTGAGCATCTCATTTTCAGATTGAAGCAGTCCCTTTAAAGCTAAATTACCAAAGTAATATAAGCTAATAAAAATTTTATAAGTGAAAACATCCATTCATCACACCATCCCCAAATTTAAATCATGTTAACAGATTGATATGTACCATTCCTTCTCCGCCTCCTACACACACACACACACACACACACACACACACACACACACACGCACTTTTTTACAGAAAATTATATATTTTTTATTGAAGTAAGAGTTGTTGATTATCTACCCAATCTCTCTGTCTTCCTCTCCTGTCCCTCTGCCTCTCCCTCTCTCTCCTAGGGATTGAACCCAGAGCTTTTGCACTGAACTACATTCTCAGCCTGTTTTTACTTTTTCAATGTGAGACAGGATTTTGGCAAGTTGCTCTTACCCAGGCTACGCTCAAATTTGCAATGCTTCTCCATCAGACCCGAGAGTGCTGGGATTACAGGTGTGCGCCACTACTCCTGGCCCCTTCTCATATTTATATTGAAGACAGAGCCCCAATTTCATTTGGATATTCAGCCACTACAGGTCTCTGCTCAGGAAACATGACCTACTCCCCAAGATTAGGCATGAACAGAAATTTTTATTACCTTGTCCATATTCATCCCATTTCAGGTAGCGTGTGGTACATCCCTGGCATCCTGAGCTGACGATTCTAGAAAAGATTTTCCCTCCTAATAGAAAGAGACGCACATGGCCCACTTCTCTGGATTTGATGACTGTATTTGACACCAGGAGCCACTGCACCTGTGTTGACATCAGGAAGGGGGATAGCTCACACTATTGGTTAGGAATTTCAGTTCTATGTAACAGGAACCTAACTAAAGCTGGCTGAAACAGAAATTAAATTTTACTGGTTCATACAAATGAATTTTACTGGTTCATACAACTGAAATCTCTGTAGAACAGCAAGATTTTGCATTGGGATTGTGGTAGAGTGATAGCTAACTACCCAACCTGGGGCCCTGCAAAAAGGAAAGAAAGAGAAGGAATGCATTTCCCAGCACCAAAGATAGATAGATACATAGATAGACAGACAGACAGACAGACAGATAGATAGATAGATAGATAGAGGAATGCATGAGTGGGGGTTGTAGTTCAAAGATGCTTACCTAGCATGCCTGAGGCCCTAGGTTTCATCCCCAGAACTGCCGAAAAGAGAAAAAAAAAAAAAAAAAAAAAAAAAAAAAGAAAGAAAGAAAAAAATAAAGGAATGCAATTTAGGCCTGGAGCTGGCGCTCAATGGTAGAGCACTTGCTTAGCATACCAAAGGCTCTGGGTTCAATCCTGAAAAAAATAAAACAATTAAAATTTAAAATGCAGCTTAAAATCCCCAAACAGATCAATGCAATAACTTGATTTAGCACAGCAGGTGAGCCTAACAGCAGACTGCACCCAGCGGATTCTAGGATTAATGTGCGGGAAGATAGCATCAGTATAAAATATTGAAACTGAAGTGTGAAGAAAATGAAAAGAATGGAAAATATAGGGAAGAGAGGAAGAGGGCTTTAGGACATGGCGAAAAGACCCAAATACATAGAATAGAGTCCTAAAAAGAAAGAAAAGAGAATAGAAAAAACAAATATTTGAAGAGAGTAACTGAAAAATTTCCAGAACTTATTAAAGTCACCTAGACACAAACTCAAGTGAGGTGTGGCTCCAAATCCCTGTAATTCCAGCGTTCGAGATGCTGAGGGATGAAGGCTACAAGTTTTGAGCCCATCTTGGGCAGTTTAGTGAGACTTGGCTCAAAATAAAAAAAGGGCTGAGGATGTAGCCCAGTGAAAAAGCCCTATATTCAATCCCCAGTACCCCAAAAAACAAGCACTATTGATCTCATGACTGATAATGGACTGTTTTATAAAAATGATAAAATTCAGAAGATAAGCAGGACATTTTGGTGCATGTCTGCAATCCCAGCACCAGGGAGGCTGAAGCAGGAAGATTGCCATGAGTTTGAGGCCAGCCTGGGCTAAATAGTCAGTTAAAGCCAGACTAAACTACAAAATGAGATCCTTATTTAAAAAAAAACTAAAGGGAAGTTTTCAATGAAAATAAATCCAAAAAGAAGCGGACACATGCAGGAACATGAAGGGTTGGAAAGGGCAAATAGCTGGGTAAAAGTAAATGAACAATGATTGGATAAAGTAAAAGCACCATGTGGTGTTTTAAGTACAGGTAGAATTAAAATATCACAGACAGGCACACACTTATAATTCTAGCACTCAGGAGACTGAGGCAGGAGGATCACCATAAGTTCAAGGCCAGCCTGGGTTACATAGTGAGTTCAAGGCCAGCCTGAACTACAGAGCGTGACCCTGCGTGAAAACACATACAAAAGACCAAAACCCTACTCATCACTAAATAGCACACACCATGAAGACAGAGTCCAAGAAAACCATTGTAAAGCTGTCAGCAGAACAGAGGCCTCCTGACACAAAACCTTAGGCCTGCTGATTCAGCCAAAGTGGTGAGAAAGGCAACATATTTGCTCTCTATTGTTGTGCCAAACCATCCCCACAAACATGGCAGGTTAATGGACTTATTATCTCAGAGCGTCTATGGGTCAAGAGTCCAGGAGAATCTGAGATGAGTCCTCTGATCACAAGACTGTAACCAAAGTATTGGCTAGACAGCCTTCTTAAGATTGTATTTATTTATTTAGTACTGGGGACTGAACTCAGGTCATCCCATATGCTAGGCAAGTGCCTGGCAGTACTGAGTGTACTCCCAGCCCAGGTAGGCTGAAATCTGTTTTGCTTTATCTTATTGCGGTACTGGGATTGAACCCAAGGACTTCCAACTGCATTACATCTCCAGTCCTTTTTTATAATTAATTAATTTTGATTTTGAGACAGGGAATTGCTAAATTTCCCAGGCTGGTTTAGAACTTGAGATCCTTCTGCCTCAGTTTCTCAAGCTGGGATTACAGGTGTGCACCGCCACACCTGGCTAAGCTACATGTTTACCCAGAGATGCAGCTGGGAAGAACCTGCTTCTATGCGCACAGGTTGCTGGCGGCAGTTGCTTCCTAGGGGCTTGTGTGAAGAGGCAAGCACCGGCTCGAGTCTGGCCTTGATTCCTATCTGCAGAGCGCAGTTTGTTGCTGTCTGAGCTTTCCACACAGCTGCTTACCGCATCAAGCCTACCAGGGAGCTTCTCCCTCATCTCTCTTTTAGGGACTTCTCACGATTCAGTCAGTCAGGATAATCTCTCTCTTAATTAACTCGGACTACCCAGCTGATTAATTTACCTTAATTACATCTAGGTGCCCCTAGATGTTCTGCCATGAACATACATCAACCATGTTCTGTTTACGGCAGGTCCCACCCACACCCAGGGAAGGTGGCGGGAGCCATGAGGGTCACTCCAGGATCTGCCACAGGCAGCCGTATTCAAACCAGTGCAAGCAAAGAGGACAGGGATAATTGGGTGGATGAAAACGTCTCCAGAGGAAGAATTGGACAAGCCTGTGGGGAACGAAGCTGGGTCTGGAAGCTGTCAGATACAGAAGCTGCTGCTTCTTCCTTTACAATTTTTATTATATTTATTTCCTTTTTGGCACTAGAGATTGAACCCTTATATGTGCTAAGCAACTGTCTCCTTTTTAAAAACACATTTTTTTTGGCTCTGTTTTTCATGTTCCTCCTGGGACCCAGTGATCTTTGCTTTCTTTCTCTTAAAACACAGTTCCTGCATTTTCCTTTTTGAAGACAAGCTACTGTTTGCCTCAGCCTACACATAGTATCCACCCCTTGTACCATGGTCTGCGCATGACTGTGGCTTGTCACAGGGGGTTGTGGCTCCTACTGTGAACATCACTGTCAGTTCACCTCCCTACGCCTAATTTTGACCGTGTGTGTGTGTGTGTGTGTGTGTGTGTGTGTGTGTACTACATGAGCACTGGGGATTGAAACCAGAGCCTCAGACATGGTAAGCATACACTTTACCACTGAGTCACACTCAGCTCCTAATTTTTTAAATTCTTAGTGGGAAGAACCTAATTGCTCAGTTTGGGTCAGACGTCTGTTCCTGGTCAGAGAGATGAGCTGACTCAATGTCAGCACATATGAATGACCAAGTGCCCCAGTTCAGGTCTTCTGTTCCATTTGGCTGCATCAGATGAGGTAGCTCCCCAGAGAGGTGACTGTTCTTGCTCAGAGGCCGCAGACTACCTAGCTACTCTGATCAGTATAGCATTATGTGTAAACTCCACGAAGGCATGGAGCTTGACAAATCTATGGCAAGTGTGCTGCGGTGGCCGTTTGTGTCATTGAAAGCTCTAAAAGTTTGCCATTACTGGGCAAGGAGAAGTAGGGGATGAGTTAAAGAGTAAATCAGGGTTCAGTCAGGTGCTGCCAGGCTTTGGGGCAATTACTTTATTCAGAGGAATGGAGAATTGAATGAGAAGTGTGTTAGGCAAAATGGCCCCCTAAAGATGTCCAGGCATCCACCCCTGGACCATGTAACTATGTTGCCTCACATACAAAAAGGGACTTTTCAGATGTAATGGAGGCTGTGACCCTTTATAGGCAGATTATTCTGGATTATTCAGATGGATCCATGCAGTCACTTGAGCCCTAAAAAACAAAGAACGGATGTCTGAAAGCAAAAGCAGGATGCTTATAAAAGGGTAAATTGGAGAGATTCAAAGACTGAGAGACTCAGTATGCCATGGGTGAGGGGGAGCTGTGTGGAAAGTCAGAGAGGGTTATGGGCCCCTGCCTGATGAACCAGCATTGTTACGGGAGCCTCTGAGCTAAGTCAGTAGCCAGAATGAGCATAGAGTGGATTCTTCTCCAAAGCCTTGAGAAAGATGCCCAGCCCCACCGTCCCTTAGCTTTGGATTTGTAAGACTCTAAGCAAAAGGACCTTGCTAAGCCATACTACACCCAGACACTGGGCTTTGGAACCCTAACATAAGAAATCTGTGTTGGTTAAACTATTAGGTATTCAGTACCTTGTTTCAGCAGTAGTGGAAAAGTTATACAAGGAACTTTGAGCAGGGGAATAACTTTATGGGATTTTGTGTTATTAAGGAGATAACTGTGTGTGCTGTGCACAAAATGGATCTGGACAGTGTAAATTTGGAGGCAAGGAAACTGGTTTTCTGGGAGTACAGTGATGGTGTGGACTGGCATAGTGATGGTGGGAAGGGGTTGGAATTTGAGGTTTATTTGGGGGGCCACAGTTGCCTGCTTGACCAATGGCTGGATGTTTGGGATGAAGGAGGCTGCCTGTGTGACTGCCCGGATGACTGGCTTGGCTGCTGGGTGATGCTGAGGCCTTGATGAAGATGAGTGGCTTGGAAGATGCCATGGCATGACCTCCATGCCTTGATTACTTTAACTTCTAAGATCTATTTTTTCCCTTTTAGATCATGTAGACAATTGTAAATCATGTGAAGATGGGACTCCTGGTATTTGTGCGCAATCTGCTGCTAGCCCTCTGCCTCTTTCTGGTACTGGGATTTTTGTATTATTCTGCGTGGAAGCTGCACTTACTCCAATGGGAAGACTCCAGTAAGTATAGTCACAGGAACAGCCTGTTGCAGGTCTGTTATGCAAGTTTGTCATGCAGCTGAATGCTGTCATAGTTTTCAGAGATGGGCGGTGAGTATAATCTGAACATTTCTGGGACTTTTGATTAGAGATTGCCTAACCTTTTAGTCGCTGCAGGCTGAAAGCACCTTTTTTTTTTTTTTTTCTTCCTTCCTTTTTTTAACTGCATGCATGGCAAATCTTAATTCCTTTTTTAAGCCCAGTGAGATTGTGCTGTTATTCAGTTAAAAACCTGCACTACACCCATAACTCTAGTTCTTGAGGTTTTTGTTCTTTTTAATTTCCGTATTGTAATACATTCTAATTTTGCATTTATTGCCTTAGGGTTTGATGTTGAAGTTTTTTTTTTTTTTTCTTCTGCTCTCAAAACATGTATCTTTACTTTTGAATTTTCTGTTTTCATTTCAATATTGTCTTTTGTTTTCTTTAATGAAACTTTGTCTTAATATTTGGTGTTGAATCTACATCTAACTAAAATTTTGGCTTCTTCTTTTTTTTTTGGTACCAGATATTGAATTTATAATTTCACGCTTGCCAGGCAGGTGCTTGTGCCACTGAGCTAAATCCCCAGCCAAATTTTGGCTTCTTTTTTCCTACTCAGTGACTTCCGATCCTTTTTCTTCCATCTGTGTGTTTGATTTCGTGTGTTACACAATGTACACTGGCACTAGCCTGCCGCTATGCTGAGGCCATAACTTAGGCCCTAACTAGAGAATTAGTCCTGTGAGATAGTTCATTTATTTCTTATGGCCCAAACTACTAAGCAACTTCAAGCCAAGTTTTAAAATAGTGTCTTTTTTTTTTTTTACAATGTCTTATCTTTTATTGTTTTACATAGAATTTTAAGTGCTTCTTTAATGTTTAGCTTATAATTATCACTAATTACTTTATGTTTCAAGAATGTATTCAAATTTCTCTGTACTTTTGTTTGTTTGTTTGAGACAAGGACTCATCGTATAATCCAGGCTGGCTTTGATCTTGCTGTGTAAACTAAAGAGGTCTTGAACACCTGCTTCTCCTGTCTTAGCCTCCCAAGTGCTGGGAATACAGGCATGTGCCTCCACACCTGGCTTCACTTGTTTTTAAAGTCAAGGAAACTACCCAAGATAAGCAGCCATTTGAGCCATGCTGTGTATAATGGTGTTTTCTGTATTCAGAATGGTGATTCCTCTGTGTAGAAAATGTGTGCAAGGAACAAAGGTCTCCTTTCTCATAGAAAATATAACAAAGGTTTAGATAACATTTTCCTAGGCAGGGAAAGAAATTCACATTGTGGAAGATGATTGCGGTGGCAGGTATTAGGCAGACAATTCACAAGTTTTATCTTATCTGATTTAATTCTTGCTATAATTCTGTGAAGATGTGATTATATTCCCATTTTCTAGTTGAGCAAACTGTAGCGCATAGTTTAATCTATCAAGGTTATACAGATAATTATTTTTAAAGCTAATGGGAATGGAGTTGAAAACTGAATTTCTAGCTTTAAAACCCACACTCATTTTTTTTGAAGAGTATGATAAATGATGAAGAGAGGATTTGGTTTTCTGTTCCACCTGATAAAAAGAGAAGAAAGGAGCTCAGAGAATGAGTGGTAGGAAGTGTCAGAAGGAGGGTGGAGAAAGGAAAAGGAGGAACGTAAGAGGAAGGGAAGAGAGGAAGAAAGTCGTCCACAAGAGGACTTGAGAGGTTATTTTGGAGGTGAGGAGGTGGTACTGAGAAGTGCTGTAGGTAAGCTTCAGTAGTTTATTACTAGTTCCTTGCTGTCTTTAGTAGTGTTAGCTAACTATCCAATATTCACAGCATTTCTGTTATTCTGTCTGTTAAGCCTCTTAGATATTTGATTTTGAGTAGATTATTATCTTTTTTAGGGGTGGTACTGGGAATCAAACTTAGGATCTCAAGCTTGCCAGGCGGGCACTGTGCCACTGAGCCATATCCCTGGCCCCTAGTAGATTTTCTATAGCAGTATTTCTGTGCTTCAGTATCAGGACAGAATAAGAGGAGCAATGCTGGGTGGCTTAGTGTCAGAGAGTGTCAAACAAGATCAAGAGGAAGGAGATTCTGGACCCAGATGATTGCTATGTTGTGAATTTTAAGTTATGGTTTAGTAATATTGAAGATGTGATGCTGTCCTTTTTTTTCTGAGGACCTTAGAAGACACTTTGAAGTTTGAATATAAATGTTCTTAACATTATGAGGTACTTTTTCTTTTTTATAATAATAAAATTTCCTATTGAATTTCTTCTATGATGAGAAAGGAAACTAGAGTTTTATTTACTACATTATTTATCCAGTACTCATTCCTTTGATAGTCCATGTACTGTCCCAGGTAAACTGGATATAGATGAACATACCCACTGTGACTGAAGTATATGGTGAATATTTAAAATTTGTTTTGTTTTGTTTTTTGGGGACAGTCTCACTATGTAGTTGATGCTGGTCTTGAACTCATGGTGATCCTCTTGCCTCAGCTGCCTGAGTGCTGGGATTATACTTGTGTGCTACCTCATCTGGCTTTAAATTGTTAAAGTTTATTACAGTAAAAGACGCATTGCCCAGGTGTGGTGATGCACACCTGTAATCTGTAATCCCAGCACTCGGGAGGCTGAGGCAGGAAGATTGTTGCAAGTTCGAGACCAACCTGGGCTACATAGTGAGCTCAAAGCCCAGCCTGAATTGCGTGGTAAGACCCTGTCTCAAAAAGACAGACAAAGAAAGAAACAAACAAACAAAGACACATTCTCTTCAAAATATCTGTTCTAAGTTTTCAACACACTTACCCCATGGTCTTTGCTACTTTCCAAAGCAGTTCTGAGGACCTGTGGGTCCTTATCCACCTTAGTCACCAAATCTGACACCTTGCAATTCCTGACTTATCTTCAAAATCATCATAGCCTTGAAAGGTGAATGATTTGAATTGATTTAATCGATTAAGTCAAATTTAAGGGTTTGGTGTTCTTAAGGACACTGGGCAAAATTATACTAGGAGAAAAAAATTTCAATATTTAAAATTCACAGGGGTTGGTATATAATATACAAGGTACTTCTGCAGTCAAGAAGCAAAGGGCAACAATCTCAGTAAAAAGTAGAAAAAAATTTGATGGGTAATTTATAGAATTGGAAAATTCAGACTAAGCATATGAAGATACAATCAAACTCGTGGGCAAGGGGGGATCGGAGAACATGGCGGACAGACAGCAGCAGCTACTGAAGGCTCTCTGAAACGCTCGGCTCAGAGGCCAGGAATGATGCGGACTAAGGAGATACGAACCAGTAGAGATGTACTCTGCTGACTCAGGAACGAACTGGGCTGAGAGAATCCAACTTAGAATGCGGTCCTGGCGCTAAAATAGGAACAGAGAAGTCTCGGTGTGGAGGCTCGACCGCGCGCCATTGGAAACCGCGATTTGGGTTTCCCGCCGCCCGGCGGCTGGCTGCCTCCACAGCGGCTCGGCAAGGAGAGACGCGCCGAGCTCTGGGAACAGGAGTCTGCGAACGGAGTCGGAAACAGGACAGACAAGGAGGAAAACTGACTGGTGGCGAGGTGAGCGAGAAACTGACTCCCTACCACAGTTTGACTCCAGCGGAGGTTTTTCTGGGCTCGGGCAGTCCTGTAAGAGCAGGGCGCGGTGGCAACCCCAGCCGCACATTCCCCTCTCGGACGGGATTGGTGAAAGGTGCCTGGCCTGAGTGACGCTGCTGGCGGACTCCCTAGGCTGGCCTAACCCAGATCCCAGAGCCTGACGGTGGCCCGGAGGAGCGACCGACTCCCGCGTAGGCTGCCTCCTCTGCAACTCCCTGGGGCGCAGCGGTGGGCGGGAACAACTAGCCAGCGCAATTTGATCAGGCTGTGGCTGACAGGCAGGGAAGCCGGGCCTCCTATGTAAGATTGCATTTTATAAAGAACAGAAAATATGGGGAAGGGAAGCAACAAAAAAGGCTCCTCGGCCCCCAATCCTGAGAATCAGGCAATAGTGGACACCGCACCAATATACATTAAGCACCATATAGAGAGCCTCATAGACCAATTCAGGAATGAAGTTATCAATGACCTGAAGCTAGAAGTATGCAGAATAGTTAGAGAAATGCTAAGCACCACCCAGGAAAAAGCAGATGGTGGAATGGAAGAACAGAAAAAGAGGGGAGAATTGCTTGATGGAGAAAACAGAGAAAGCATTGAGTATGTGAAGCAGGTTCAAAGGGACTATCAAGAAATTAAGAAGTCTATCCAAGACTGGCATAACAGCTTGAAAGAAACTAAGGACAGACTATCTGAATTGGAGGGCAGACTTGAAACATGGGAGAATGAAATGAAAAACTTCTTAAAAATAACAAAGAAACACACAGCAATAATACAAAGACAAGAAGATGATAAGAGGAGCCATAACTTAAGGATTAAGAACATAAAAGAAGAAGTAGGGACACAAACAAGTGAACTACAAAAGCTACTCACAGAAATAATCCAGGAGAATTTTCCTAATTTAGCAAAAGGTAAAGATACTCAGATGTATGAGGCATACAGGACCCCAGCTACCTACAACCCTAACAGAGAAACACCCAGGCATATAATAATAAAAATTCCAGAAATTCAATACAAGAACAGAATATTAAAAGCTGTAAGAGACAAGAAACAGATCACTTACAAGGGAATACCCATCAGAATTACAGCAGATTTCTCTTCACAAACCATCAAATCACGAAGAGCATGGGGAGAAATAATTCAAGCTTTGAAAGATAATAATCTCCAGCCAAGATTGATATATCCTGCACAACTGTCCCTGGAAATTGATGGAAAAACGAGGTGCTTCCAGGATAAAGAGGAACTGGGGGAATTTGCAACCACCAATTCAACCCTACAGAAAGTATTGCAGGATATTCTAAAAAAAGAAAAATACAAAGAACCTAGAAATAGTGGCGGGGAGGCCACAACAAATGGAGCAGAGAACAAAATGAAGAAGACA